CGAAGGCGAAACGTTTCAGCACAAAAAAAGAAACTGTCCAGATGACCTGACTGAAAAATGTTGGATATAACTCAGTCAGTTTTACAGATACCGAGTTAAAATTTGAAGTGGTAGTAGCTGAGAGTCATCCACAACAGATACGTGAGAGAAGACGCATCCCTCAAGACCTTGCACTAAAGTGTGAAAGTTATTTTGAACAGTTAAACAAAGCAGCTATACAACTTTCAATTATCATCAAGAGTTGATCTTAAACTAAACTCTGGCATCACCGGTGAGTCAAGATGAGTAGAAAAAGTTTGAAACATTATAATTTGAGAACTGATCTTCTTAATGTACAGCAGTTTTTGTTAACCAGCTAACTGTGCTTTAAGAAATGAACAAAAACTGCTGCAGCTGTTCACAGACGCACGGCTCAGCACAGGAGAACCTCTTCAGGACAAGACTCAGCGGTTCACCTGCACCTCAAGAATAAGGGATACTCATTTCAGGAGCAAAATGTTCACATTTTGGACAGAGAAGACAGATGGTTTGAGAGGGGTGTGAAAGAAGCTGTTTATGTAAAACGAGAGAAACCATCTTTAAACAGAGGAGGTCTCAGATTCCAACTTTCAAAAACCTATAATGCAGCTTTATGCCCGATACCCAGTCATTTTCACTCCAATCAAGACCTTCATCCATGTGACCAGAGTGGCCCATCTGTGAGTCAGACTATAAAGACCTTAATTTACCCCTATTGTGAGGAGTGAAAGGGCAATCTGCATATGTATCTAGCAGTGGTGTAGTCTACAGTTTTTTAGTGGGTACACCGCGGTAAAGTTAGTTTTACGTTGGACATCGTTGAAGCCACGGAGCGCGAATGCCCAATGTCCAACGTAAAACTAACCTTACCGCGGTCGGTCCGTATACTGTGCTTAGAAACCAAAGTACACTGGTTAGTACAATGTAATTGTCAATTTATTTAGATTTTTAAGCGTATTGAGCATTTCCAAATTTCTCTGATGCTTATACTTCAATAAATGAACGAGAAACTTTGTACAACAGTTGGCTTTGTATTAAAAACATGTTATAGAATTTATTAATCGGTATCAAAGCAAAACATGTTCAAGTAGTAAGTACAGAAGTGTTAATTATACAATAATTCACTGGATAAGCCAATATAATAAACAAGCGCTGCATACCGGTAGATTATTACGGAAGCGTTTAAATGCCGTTTAACGTATCAATGACATGTGCCTAATGATATGTCATGTATCATTGGGCATTTTTAAGAGGGTTTACTGAAATTCTTCAACTTTTCTAGTGGGTATACTCTGTATACACACGTATCGCGTAGACTGCACCACTGGTATCTAGCTTACCTCAGCTTTATAACTCGAACCCCACACTTTCTGTTCTTTGAATTGAGAAAGCTCCTCGGACAAGAAGCGAAACATCTTCGGATACAAACTACAGTCCAGTTGCTTTTGTCTTGAACTTTTTTATTTACCGTGTCCTGGATGACTGAGAACCTTCACCAGCATTTTGCACTGATGTTGATTATTTTAGAAACTAAAACTTGAAGTATTTCTGAACTGAATCTTTGAGTTGTACTTTTTTCTCACTATGAAAGTTAAAATGAATGAAATTCATTAAAGGACTGACTGCATCTGATGCTAAATGCAGTTTTATCTAATTCGGTCTCACTCCACCTCTTCAAGTGTATTTGACTCAGTTTTGGACACTTTTATTGACTGGCATTATAACTCAGGCCTGACTTGACCAGTTATTTCCAATTAAATGACAAAATTATCAATAAGCGTAATAAAGACTTTCTATATTTTGAGCAGCTTGTGTGTTTGCTGACTTCTTCTTTCCCCTCCTCCTCCTCCTCCTCCTCCTCCTCCTCCTCCTCCTCGGCAGGACAAGCGAGCAGTAGAGCGCCTCTCCCTGGAGAAGGCCTTCCATCCCTTCATCGCTGGAGCCCACAACAGGCTGGTGCAGGAGCTCAGCCAGGAGACGGGTGCTCGCATCAGCATCCCCCCGCCAAGCCTGCCGAAGGACGAGATCGTCATCACCGGAGAGAAGGAAGCCGTTGCTCTGGCAGTCAGCCGCATCCGGGCCATCTACGAAGACAAGGTGAGCGTCGAAACAAGGGATTTTCTGGTGTCGGCGTTGGTTCTTACATTTTTTGTGCTTCACTTTGTCTTTTTTTAATGAAGTTTTCAGAGGCCTTTTTAATGAAAAAATCATAAATCATTATTCTTGCAAACTAGAGAAACTGTATTTCCTGTGAAAATGCAGTGTGAATGCTTATTGCTGAAGAACTTGTTGGAAAAACAGCTAAAATTAGCTAAAAACATGGTAAAATGTAGCTGAAATGGAAGAACAAGCCCAAGTTTAGCAGAAGGAAGCAGAACGAACACACATTTGCTGAAATAGGTTTAAATCAGCAGAAATGAGCACAAACTTTAGGAAATTAGCTAAAAAAGCAGAAATTAGCTGAAACTACCAGAAGGAGGTGGAACGAGCTGAAATGAGCTAAAAAATGTAGAATTGGCTGAAAAAGGAAAATTTAGCACCAAAACAGCTGAATATAGTATCTAAAATAAAGTTCAAACTATCAGAAATGGGTGGAAAGGAGCATAACAAGCTAAAATTAACAGAAAGTACTTATTTATGGTGAAAGTAACAGAAATTACCACGAAAAACTTGAATTTATCTAAAAGCAGCTGAACTTAGCTAAAAAATGGTAAAAAGTAGCGAAAAGGTAGAACAAGCTTAACTTAGTAGAAGAAAACAGAAAGAACATGTTTGCCCACTTAATCTGAAAGGAGTAGAAATGAGCACAAAACAGTGGAAATTATCTGAAAAAAGCTGAAATAAACAAACAAACAAAAAAAAACAGCTGAAAAGAAGCTAAAAAAAGCAGAAAGAAGCTTAAATTACCAGAAGGAAGTGGAGAGAGCACATTTTTGCTGAATTAGTCTGAAAAAAGTTGAAATTAGCAAAAAAAATGTGGAATTAGCTGAAAATGCTAAAATTAGTTCAAACAAACAGCTAAATTGTAGCTGAAATGGCAGAAAAGGCTGAAACTTGCAGAAATAAGCGAAAAGGAGCATAAAAATCTGATTTTTTTTTATATTGTTATGGAATTGTTTTGTATTTTTTTAAATGAATAAACTTTATACCATACCATACCAAATTAGCAGAAAGAAGTTAGAAGAAGAACAAAATGTTGTAGTTAGCAGAAAGAATCTGAAAGGAGCACAAAACAGCTTAAGTTAGCTGAAAGTAGCTGAACCAGAACAAAATGTGAAAGGAGCAGTAAAAGATTGTTAACAGATCTAAAGATCTGAAGGATAGAAAATGAGCTCAGTTTATTTAATATGAGAAAAAATTATGGCTGAAAAGGCTAAATATTTCAAAAAGCTAAAGTTGCACCAACACCAAAAGTCATATCAGGATTGTCCTGAAAGAGCTGAACGTTTTGCTTTATGACTTGCTGAAATAGCTTGAAAACTGTGGGATGAGAATCACGCTGAAAACCATACGGAAGAGAAATAGATCACAACAGTGTGAATGCTTCATAAAAAACAAGAAGGTCTTCCTGATCATTTCTGACGTTCAGCCTCTCGGAGCCCGTTGTGAACCATCAGAGTTACGGTAAGTTTCGGGCCTTTAGGTGTAACTCAATGAACTCTGGGCTTCTCTCGTCTCACCGCCGTCTCACTTTTCACTTGTTTGCTTCATCACTTGAAGCTCCTCTATAAAATAAATCTGTTTGTTTAGTTTTCTTGTTTGCTGTTGTGGTTTTATTTTTTACTGCGCACCAAATCTCATTACCTGATGAGATTGAACGAAAGGCATCAGACGGATGGTTTCAACACGGACAGGAAGTGTGTGTGTTTGTGTGTGTCCTTGATGAGCTCCTATGATTGGCAAGATGGAGACGACGCCGAGAGAAAATTGGATTTCAGAGAACAACAACAGGATGGGAATACTAATGTTGTTTAGAGCATGAGAGGCAACAACAAACTTCCTGATCCGTCACCTCTGGGCTCCTCCGTCACACAGTCTGTTAATTCACGCCAGCTCCTTTTAGTTTCCATCCTTTCATCTCTTCCCGCCTCAAGTCGTTTACTTCTCACCTTGTTTCTGCAGAAGAGAAAGACCACGACCATCTCGGTGGAGGTGAAGAAGTCTCAGCACAAGTACATCATCGGTCCAAAGGGCAACACCCTGCAGGAGATCCTGGAGGCCACCGGGGTGTCGGTGGAGATGCCTCCGCTGGACTCTGCCTCGGAAACCATCATCCTGAGGGGGGAGCCCGACAAACTGGGGCCTGCGCTCACACAGGTCTACGCCAAGGTGAGGAGGACCAGACCGAGATGTTAAATGAGCTTTAATCTTCAGGATATTTGTTGTTTCTTCATCACACGTGAAGGACACCATGCATCCACAGTCACTGATGGTCTTTAGACCCTGCTCTGTTCTGATGCTTAGTTTTATTTTTATTAGATGCAAATTATTATTAGTCACCTTTAAAATAAAGATCAAATAAATAAATGAATATAAACTAGAGAAACTGCATTTCCTGAGAAAATGCAGTGTGAATGCTTATTGTAGAAGAACTTCAACTTGCTGAAATTGACAAAAAAAAAAAAAAACATGCTGAACTTCAGCTGAAATGAAAGAGCAAGACTAAATTACAATACCATACCAATTTATTTATAGAGCACTTAAAACAGCAACAAGGCCAACCAAAGTGCTGTACAATAGAAACAAACAAGCAGAGACAATTATCAGAAGAAAGCAAAAAGAACATGTATTTCCTTAATTGGGTTCAAATAAGCAGAAATGAGCACAAAGATGAGGAAATCAGCTAAAGGATAGGCTCAAATTAGCAAAAAAACATCTAAAAAGTAGCCAAACAGGAAGAAAGAAGCATAACCTACGAGAAGGAAGTGGAAAAAGCTTAATGGGCTAAAAAGTGTGGAATTAGCTGAAAAAGCTAAAATTGGCATAAAACAGCTAAATAGTACAGTAGCTGAAATAGCAGATAAAACTGAAACTAGCTTAAAAAAATCTGAAAGGAGCATAAAAAGCTGAAATTTGCAGAAGTTAATTAAGCTGAAAGTAGCAGAAATTACCAAGAAAATTCTGAATTTATCTGAAAACGGCTGAAGTTATCTAAACATTTTCTGAAAAGCTAGTACAAGCTTAAATTAGCACAAGAAAGCAGAAAGAACACGTTTGCCCAGTTAGGCTGAAAAAAGCAGAAATGGGCACAAAAAGTAAAAATTATCTAAAAAAAAAACCCTGAAATGAGCAAAAACCAGCTGAAAAGTAGCTAGAAAAGCAGAAATAAGCTTAAATTATCAGAAGGAAGTGAAGAGAGCATATTTTTGCTGAATTAGGCTGAAAAAAGTTGAAATTAGCACAATAAATTTGGAATTAGCTGAAAATGCTAAAGTTAGCAAAAAACAGCTAAATTGTAGCTGAAATAGCAGAAAAGGCTGAAACTTGCAGAAATGAGCACAGCAAGCCGAAATTAGCAGAAAGAAGTTAAAATAAGCACAGGGGAGTGGTGGCACAGAGGTTAGAGAAGGTGGGCCTGCGATTGGAAGATCGCTGGTTCAACTCCCGGTACCAACAACATCAAAATGTGGGTGGGATAGATGACGCATCGACCTGCCTCCACCCTCGTTTGTCCCCCTCTGGGCCCTTGAGCAAGGCTCTTAACCCCCACCATCTGCTCCTCCGGGCGCCCTAGATAGCAGCTCTCTGCTCCACACAGAGGGCTGTGGTAGCTCGGTGGTCTGTGGTTGTGTCAGGAAGGACATCCTGCATAAAAATAATTGCCAAATCTTTGTGTGACTTATTTTGCTGTTGTGACCCCTGGAGAAGGGAGCAGCTGAAAGGCAAAAAAAAAAAAAGTTAGAAAAAGCACAAAAATGTTAGCAGAAAGATTAAGAAAGGAGCACAAAACAGCTGAAAAAACAGCCAAAATGAGCTAAAAGTAGCTGAAAAAAAAATTAATTTGCGCAGGGAAGCTGAAAGTAGCTGAAGCAGAACAAAATGTGAAAAGAGCAGTAAAAAGTTGTAAACACATCTAAAGATTTGAAGGATGTCAAATGAGCTCAATTCATTTAATATGAGGAAAAAAATGGTAGAAAAGCCTAAATATTTCAAAAAGCCAAAGTTGCACCGATACCAAAAAGTCATATCAGGATTGTCCTGAATGCGCTGAATGTTTTGATTTATGATTTGTTGAAATAGCACAAAAATTGTGGAACGAGAAAAATGCTGAAAAACGTACAGAAGAAAAATGGATCACAATAGTGTGAATGCTTCATAAACATCAGAGTCAGTTTCTTTATTGTCATTCGCACCTCATGTGGTACATGTGGTGGAGCGAAATTATGTACACAGTTCACACAATAAAATATAAACATAACAAATTTCTTATCCAAAAGAAGGCCCTGTTAATTTTTGTAGTTTGTTTTTATAATATGTTGATTAGTTGATTTATTCATACATTATAAACAGTCGTTTATAATAAACTCCTGTTGAGTTATTGATGCAGTGTTTGACTCGTGTGTTTGACTCGTGTGTTTGACTCGTGTGTTTGACTCGTGTGTTTGACTGCGATGATATTCGGTGTGTGTCCAGGCCAAGAGTGTGATGGTGGTGGAGGTCAGCGCTCCAGCGTGGCTGCATCGCTTCATCATCGGCAAGAAAGGGCAGAACATCGGACGGATCACGCAGCAGCTGCCTCGGGTAACGGCGGAGTTAGACGTCACAAACACATCCGACGTCACCAAAACACGTCAAATTAACCGGGTCTGAAAGAAGCAGACAACGGTGGCTTTAAAGCTCGACTTCAGCAGAGGTGTTTTTATCAGACGTTGGTTGTTAAACCGGGTCGTCTGTGTTCATGTTGCCAGGTTCACATCGAGTTCACAGACGGTGAGGAGCGCATCAGCCTGGAGGGACCGACAGAGGAGGTGGAGCAGGCTCAGGCCCAGATTCAAGAGATCATCCAGGACCTGGTCAGTGCACACACACAAAAAACTCATGTTTTAGTTTAGACAACACGTAATGTAACTTTTCTATGAAGGTTACAGTAGTCCCTCGTTTATTGTGGGGGTTACGTTCCGAACCCCCACAATAAGTGAAATTCCACAAAGTAGTGACGTTATATTTATTTCAGTATTTGTAAATTATATAAACCCTTCCCACACTCTTGCAATGTTCTAAACTCTTAAACCTACATCATTTTAACAACATACTTATATGTAGCTACTAAATTTTACTCAGCAAACAGCAGCGGCTCGGTTCTGCTCCGACTTGGTTCCATTTCGGCGGACCTACCCTGCCGGTTCTGGTCGGCTCTCCGGCTCGGGGTAGTGGCGGTGGGCTCCAGATGGAGCGCCGGATCTACAAGCGGCGTGTCCCCACTCGGTGATCCTCGTGGGCCGGCTACCAGCTCTTGGATTCGCCAATGGGTCTGGGGGTCCGGTTCTACTCCGGTTCTGTTCAGCCCTTGAGCACCAAAGCGCATTTGGTGGGGGGCACCTTCGGGTGGCAGGCGTGGGACCAGATTGCATCCAAATCTGGATGAAAAAACTGTCCCAGTGGGCTCCAGAGAGTAGCTGGACCTACAGGCGATGTGTCCCTGTCCCTGCTCGGAAGTCCTCATGGGCTGGCTAGCAGCTCTCAGATTGACAGATGAGTCTGGAGGTCCGGTTCTGGTCCAGTTCCTGGTGGGTTCCATGTGGCTCTCTGCATCTGCTGGGCTCCCAAGTCACTGTATGAATAAGGACCCAGCTTTTTCCGATCAGATCAAAACTCTCCCTATTTCAGCAGAAGGCAACAAGGCTTCTGGGCGGGGCACTGTTGGCTTCTGGGAAATGTAGTTGTTATGAGCGGGGATACAGTGTAGGGTTATTGAGAGAAAACTACAAAATGGTGGCACCTGTCCGAAGTATTTTATTTTTTCATTAACTTTTTACTGTACAGTATCCAGTACTGTCACAATCACGTAATAGTAAAGTTGACAGTCAGTGTCGTGTACAATTTTATTTTATTTTTTCTCGTGTTCAGTCTTACTTTGAAAAACCGTGAAAGAGCGAGTCCGTGAAAGTTGAACCATGAAGTAGTGAGGGTCTTCTGTGTCTTGATAGAGTTTTGTGTAAAAGTAGTTGCAGGTTAAATAAACTGTGTGTCGTCTTTTGTCTCCTCTGTTTCCAGCTGGTGAGGATGGACTACACTGAAGTCATCATAGATCCACGTTTCCACAGACACCTGATCGGAAAGAACGGAGCCAACAGTGAGTTGTTCCTGTTGACCGCAGGAGAGAAACAAGTCGGTCTGAAAGCCTTTGGGTTTTTAACAATTGACTGAAGCTCGCCATGTTTCGTACATTTTTTCGGGAAGATTTTATGAGTAGTTAGCGGCTTATCAGCTAGGACTGATACAGTGACCACACGAAGGTGAAACTTTACCAACGTGTTTTTTTTTTACGTGCATCATGTTTTTTTTTAGTTGTTGTTGCAGCTGGGTTTTTTTGTGTGTGCTAATTTCAGCTTTTTTCAGATAATTTCCAGCTAAATATCTAAAAAAGTTAAATCTGGTCCTCTGGACATTCAAAAAAACAAAACAAAGCAATTCCAGCTAAATAGTAGCTAAAAGAGCAGAAAAAGCTGAAACTAGCAAAAAAAAGCTGAAAGGAGTGTAACGAGCTGAAATTAGCATAAAGAAGTTAATTAAGCTGAAAGTAGCAGAAATTGCCACGAAAAACTTGAATTTATATGAAAACAGCTGAAATTAGTAAAATGCTAACAAGTAGCTGAAACGGTATAACAAGCTTAAATTAGCAGAATAAATCAGAAAGTACATGTTTGCCCAATGAAGAAGCAGAAATGAGCACAAAGAAGGCTCTTTCGCTTTCCATCTGGTAGTTTAAGCTTCTTTTTACCTTTTCAGCTACTTTTCAGCTATTTTTTGTTAATTTCACCATTATTTTAGCTGATTTTCTAATTTTTGTGCTAATTTCTGCTTATTTAAACCCAATTCAGCAAATATGTGTTCTTTTTGCTTTCTTCGCTAATTTAAGCTTCTTCTACCTTTTCTGCTACTTTTCAGCTATTTTTTGTTAATTTCACCATTATTTTAGCTGATTTTCTAATTTTTGTGCTCATTTCTGTTTATTTAAACCCAATTCAGCAAATATGTGTTCTTTTTGTTTTCTTCGGCTAATTTAAGCTTGTTCTACCTTTTCAGCTACTTTTTAGCATTTCTTAGCTAATTTCAGCTGTTTTCAGATAAATTCAAGTTTTTCATGTTAATTTCTGATACTTTCAGCCTTAGCTAATTTCAGAGTGTTATGCTCCTTTCAGCTTTTTTCTGCTAGTTTCAGCTTTTTCTGCTCTTTCAGCTACTATTTAGCTATTTTGATGCTATTTTTATCTTTCTCAGCTATTTTCACAGTTTTTGAGTTCATTTCAGCCTTTTCTACTTCCTTCTGGTAGTTAAAGCTTATTTCTGCCTTTTCAGCTTTTTTTTTTTTTGACTAAGTTCATCTTTTTTTTTAGCTGATTTCCTAATTTTTGTGCTCATTTCTGCTTATTTAAACCCAATCTAGCAAACATGTGCTCTTTCTGCTGTCTTCTGCTTTAGGCTTGTTCTTCCATTTCAGCTACATTTCAACTGTTTTTCAGCAAGTTCTTGAAAGCAATTTCTCTAGTTTTGTTTTAGTTGATAAAATATTGTTTGCCTGTTGCCTTTTTTAAAGCTTGGCTATGTGGTCAAATTTCCTCTTATTCTCCAAACTACGTACTACCAGCCTCATTTTACTATAACGTTACTACTTAAAAGTAGTTAAGCATGTTAAAATATTAAGCGTTTGTCAGCTCTATCATACCATAGAAATGAAAAGATTGTCTTATACTGTAAAATTGTTGCCACTACACTTTGAATGTTTTCAGTTCGTATACATCAGGGGTATTCAACTGGTGGCTCAGGGGCCAAATCAGGCCCACGGGTGTGCTCAGTTCGGCCCACCAATGAGTTCATTTTTAAATAAAACTAGATTTTATTGATGAAATACATTTGGCTGTTTTTCTACGAATCATTTTTGATATTCAGTGAGTCAAAAGTCTCTAAAAACATGTGCATCGGTTTCTAATTTAAAAGAAATGTGGCAAGTTTGTTTGTTTTGCATAAAGACACGTTTTCCACTGTACGAACGTTTTTTTTTCTCAAATCAACAAAATTTCCATTTTTGTCGATTCAGAAACTAATCGGAAAATTAGAATTTCTTTGTGATCAAAGTTTCTTTCTCTTTTCCAATCTATCTCCTGCTCTGCAGTCAATCGGATCAAGGAGCAGTACAAAGTGTCGGTGAGAATCCCGCAGGACTCGGAGAGAAGCAACCTGATCCGGATCGAAGGAGACCCTAAAGGAGTCCAGCTGGCACGAAGGGAGCTCATTGAGATGGTCCAGAGAATGGTGAGGAGGCTCTTGATGGGTTTTTTAAATAAAACGTATGAAACACCATGAGCTAAAAGGATTTCTTTCACTTTACTTCGTCTTGTCCAGGAAAATGAGCGAACCAAAGACCTGATCGTGGAGCAGAAGTTCCACCGGACAATCATCGGGCAGAAGGGAGAAAAGATCAGAGAGGTTCGAGACAAGTTTCCTGAGGTGAGCTTTGACTCAGACCACCTTAGAGCTGTGAAGGCATTTATTTATACACTGCTCTCATTTAACGCCTTTAACTTTATCTTGTTTGCTTTTAGGTCATTATTAATTTTCCCGACCCGGCGCAGAAGAGCGACATCGTCCAGCTGAGGGGGCCGAAGAATGAGGTGGAGAAATGTGCCAAGTTCCTGCAGAAAATCATCGCAGACCTGGTAAAACCAAACACGTTCCGTCCCTTTCCCTGATTTATGTCCATCTCTTCAGACTCGCTGACCTTCTCTCTCCTTCTCAGATTGAGAACAGCTTCTCCATCTCCGTCCCCATTTTCAAGCAGTTCCACAAGAACATCATCGGAAAAGGCGGCGCAAACATCAAAAAGGTGAGACGAGCGCGAAAATGAGTCCAGAAGCAGAGCTGTCGGGCAACGTTGGGCAGAAAATAATCCCGAAGGTTTCTATCGTCAGATCCGCGAGGAGACGAACACGAAGATCGACCTTCCGACTGAAAACAGCAACTCTGAGATGATCGTCATCACGGGGAAAAAGAGCAACTGTGAGGCCGCCAGGGATCGAGTCCTCGCCATCCAGAGAGAACTGGTGAGCCAACGAGCACCTGACAGTCCAGGAACAAAGTCCTTATTGGACTGGATTTCAGAAAACTGACTGAAGTTCAGTTGTTGTCTCCTGTCCGCGGAGGGAAAAGGTGATACTGGAAATTTACTCCATTCATCCATGAACATTGTGCGTGCAATGTCTTGGAAAAATTGGTGAGGCACCAACATTCATTTTGTTGTGTGGCTGCATTTAGGCATAGGAAAGGTTCCTTTAGAAAATTGGATTGCCACGCCAAAATCCAAGATGGCCACTACTAGTTGTGGGCACAGATCTGTAAATCTGCTAATAGCAGAACAAATCTTTTGTTTGTGTTTTTGCTAAATTTGGAAACCGTTAGCGGAATTAGCTTCCACTAAATTAGGTTTTACCAACTTTAAGTCCACTAAAAAATTTCACAATCTTGTTCCTGTTTGTCGTGGGTGTGTCTCAAAGAGTCCGTTAAGCTGTTAAGCACGCCATTGGCTTACAAGCACGTGACAAGACATGATTGGTCGACGCAGCTTGAACCTGAAAGAGACGAAGACTTGTGACGTAGACTGAGTGACAATCTTCTTAACGATTTAACTTCCGCTAATTTTTTTTTTTTTACCTGTTTAGCGTTAGCATAGCTAACTTTTTGGTTATCTGTGCCCACCTCTGGCTACCACCAATCATTTGAGGAAACTATACTTTCTAGTTGTTATATTGCTTATAGTTCCCTCAAATGATTGGGGTGGCCAAAGAGTCATTTATATTGAACAAGGCCACCATTGGCCACCCCGTGGCTCCACCATTGCACATGTGCGCTCTGATACAGTGATGACGATAAACGTTTGCTATCATGCAGTCGTACCAGGTTACTACACAGCACTGGTTCTTCTTTAAGAGCTTTTATTTTTAAGACTAAACGATGTATAGGTCAATAAGTAGGGAAGAGGTTTAAAAAATAAACGTTCTTCTGAAAATGGTCGTGTACCGGACAGAGAATGAGTTTAAAAGCAACAAACTTTAAAAGATTTTTCAGAAAGCCTGAAGAACAGTTAATCAGAACCACTTTAAAGGTTTATACAAAAGTCTGGCTGCGTAGAAGCAAAATGAAAGAAATAAGGGATGGCTCAAGACTTTTGCACAGTACCATAAACAGTTGATGGTGATCTCCTGCGTCTCTTTTTGTCTTCTCCCCAATCTAGGCATCTAATAAAGACAAACAAAATGCAACCTTTATTAAAATTAAAGAAATGCAATAAATCATTTACAAAATGCTTTTAAAGAGTTAAACGCATCAAATGACAAAAGACCTTTGTTCATAGGAGCTAAAACTTATACTACAGTATAAAAATAAAGAAGAAAAGTGTTTCAAATGCTCAAATATTTGTCTTCACCTCCTCAGGCCAACATCAAGGAGACGGAGGTCACCATCCCCGCCCGACTGCACAACTCTCTGATCGGCTCCAAGGGCTGCCTGGTGCGCTCCATCATGGAGGACTGTGGGGGGGTCCACATCCACTTCCCCTCTGAGGGCTCCGGCTCTGATAAAGTCACCATCAGAGGACCTGCAGGCGAAGTGGAGAAGGCCAAGAAGCAGCTGCTGCAGCTGGCCGAAGAGAAGGTGAGCCAGGACGGAGAGTTCTGGATGGATCCAAAGAGAACTAGAGAAAATGCATTTCCTGAGAAAATGCAGTGTGGATGCTTATTGCTGAAAAACATGCTGAAATGTAGCTGATATGTAGCTGACATGTAGCTGACATGTAGCTGATATGTAGCTGACATGTAGCTGACATGTAGCTGATATGTAGCTGACATGTAGCTGACATGCGGAAGAACAAGTCTAAGTTAGCAGAAGAAAGCAGAAAATAACTTTTATTTGCTGAATTTGGGTTTAATAAGTAGAAATAAGCACAAATATTAGGAAATTAGGACTTTTTTGTTTTTGAACCAGTTTGACATGACTGCCAACGAGGAAGTGGGGCGGCACCAGAGGAGGGGGCGTGCCAAAGACACCATCTTGGCACCAACATAACTAGTTTGCTCCACTTTGAAGTAAGCTGTTTGGGGGAAGAATCAGTTTTGTGTTGTGTGTTTCCTTGACTGATGAAGCCTTCCGGATAGAAGATGAAACGTTTCAGAAAAAAAAAAAAGAAACCGTCCAGATGACCTGACTGAAAACTGGTCGATTAGGATGTTAGCTTAAAAAAGCTGAAATTAGCAAAAAAAAAAAAAAATGCTGAAAAGTTGCTGAAAAGGCAGAAAGAAGCTTAAACTACCAGAAGGAAGTGGGATAAGCTGGAATGAGCAAAAAAAAAAAAAAAAGTGGAAATAGCTGAAAAAGCTAAATTTAGCACAAAACAGCTAAAAAAATAGCTGAAATAGTATAAAAAGATGAACCGAGCAGAAAAAGCTGAAAGGAGCACAACAAGCTAAAATTAGCAGAAATACATTTACTAGGCTGAAAGGAGCAGAAATCACCATGAAAAACTTTAATTTATCTGACAACAGCTGAAATTAGCAACAAATGCTAAAACTAAGTAGCTGAAAAGGTAGAACAAGCTTAAATTAGCAGAAGAAATCAGAAAGAACACGTTTGCCCAATTAGGTTGAAAGAAGCTGAAATGAGCACAAAAAAGTAGAAATTATCAGAAAAAAAATGAAATTATCAGAAAAAAGCAGCTAAAAAGGCAGAAAGAAGCTTAAATTACAAGAATTGGAGGGAGCACATTTTTGCTGAATTTGACTGAAAAAGTTTAAATGAGTGTAAAAAACGTGGAATTAGCTGAAAAATCTTAATTGGCATAAAAACAGCTAACTAGTAGCTTAAATAATAGAAAAAGCTGAAACTTGCAGAAATGAGCTAAAACGAGCATAAGAAGCTGAAATTGGCAAAAAGAACGTTAGAAGAAGCACAAAAATGTTGTAGTTAGCAGAAAGAATCTCAAACAATCACAAAACACCGGAAATTGGCTGAAAGTAGCTGAAAAAAGTTTAAATTTGCAGAAGGAAGGAGCTGAAAGAAGCTGAACCAGAACAAAATGTGAAAGGAGCAGTAAAAGGTTGTAAACACATCTAAAGATTTGAAGGAGGTAAAATGAGCTCAATTAATTTTCTATGAGGAAAAAGTGACAGAAAAGGCTAAATATTTCAAAAAGCTAAAGTTGCACCAATACCAAAAGTCATAGCAGGATTGTCCTGAAAGAGCTGAACCTTTTTATTTATGATTTGTTGGAATAGAACAAAAATTGTGGAACGAGAAAGACGATGAAAATTGTTCAGAAGAGAAATGGATCATGCTTCATAAGCGTTCGCACAAATCCAGAGAAGGACGTCGCTCCTGTTCTCATGTCTCGTCTTCCTCTTTCAGCAAGTCAACAACTTCACCGCTGAGCTGCAGGCCAAGCCGGAGTATCACAAGTTCCTGATCGGACGAGGCGGCGCCAACATCCGCCGCGTGCGGGACAGAACGGGGGCCCGGATCATCTTCCCGTCGCCTGATGACCCCGAGCAGGAGCTGATCACCATCGTGGGGAAAGAGGAAGCTGTGCGTCAGGCCCAGAGGGAGCTGGAGAGCCTGGTCAAAAACCTGGTAACTACCTCCAAACTCTAATCTCTTCATTTGATTCATCTTCTTGATTCTTCTGCTCCTCCTTTGAAATTATGAATTTACTGTTACAGATTTCCTGTTTAATAGAAAACATAATAAATTAATAGTGGATTAATGACAGAATATATCTCTATTTTCTTGACATCATGACATCATTGTTATATTAGTTCATTTGCTCCACTGTTTCTTTTTTAACCAATTTTTTTTATCATTTAAGTTTTATTTTCTTCTTAACTCACGATTCCATTTTGTTTCTGAAGTGTTTTACATTTAACTTGAGCTTTTATTTAAATAAATAGTTAAAATAGTTAGATGTGTGATTCTATGCAAAGCTTATGAGCAATTAATATCTTACCTGTTGTAGATAGCTGTTTGAAAGACGTCAGTTTGGAGAAATAAGAGTTTAATTCTGTTTAAGTCTGAGCTGGGTTAAGACCAAAGTGAACTGCTGCCGTCGTAAAACAACTCTGATTCCAAATCCAAAGTTTATAAACCTTTACATCACCGGCAGTGTTAAATTACATTTATTCATGTAAAGTTTTGTGGTTCTTTATGAGAGCAAATGGCAGCAGCAACAGCTAGCTGTAGCACTTCTGACAGAATAACTGTCCTAAATTAACAGCAATGCAAAAGTTTAAAAATATGTTTTAATTATTTAGAAGGCTCTGGATGTTTTTTTTTTGTTGTTGTTGAGATGTTTCATCCTTCATCCAAAGGACTTCATCAGTCCGAGGAGGAGCCACAACAAACTGAGTCCCACAAGCAGAACACTCACATAGTGAGCTGGTGACTGAGTTGGCCTGGTTGGTCCACTACGTGAATGTGCTGCTTGTGGGACTGAGTTTGTTGTGGCTCCTCGGACTGATGAAGTCCTTTGGATGAAAGACGAAACGTCTCAAAAAAAGAAAAAAAAAACATCCAGAGGACCTGACTTAACTTTGCTGGATTAATCATTATTCCAAGAATATAAATGTACCTGAATTAGCACAATAGCTACATTTCAGCTGCTATCTTAAGCTAAATAAAATAAACTATTTTAAAACTGTTCATAAAACAAGTGCATAAAGCAATACAACAGTCAATAAAAACAATTCACAAAACAAACAAACGTTACAATCCAAAAGTTACAGTTAAAATAGACACATTTTATAAATGAGTGCATAAAAATGTAATTTTCTTTTTAAAAACTGAACAACTGCCACAGTCTGACACATTCTGGTAGTTTATTCCATAAATGTATTCCTCTGAGTGATTGACGTCACCTTTCGCCCTAACTCCGTTCTCCGACAGAGCCCCCTCTAGTCTGAGATCTGCTGTTTGTTCTGGTTTTATACTTAAGGATAAAAGAGTTTAAAGATGGAGGAGCGAGTCCATTTAAAACCCTAAAATCAAGATGTAGATCACTGAACACGGTACTTTTCTGTCTGAGATCTTTAACTTCCTGATGATATTACAACAGTGAACATGAACGAGTCGTCTGTCTAAAACTTTGTCTTTTGGAAGAGACCTGATGGGTTTTAGCTCATTTGCTGTTGTAAGCAACCAGATCATAAAACAGTAAGATATGAGAATGCATCTCTGCGTGCATGTTTTATCTGCCAGCAACGTGAGAAAAGTTCTAATATGATGAAAATTTGCCAAGTTAAATTTGACCACGTTTGTAGTCGTCTTAATACGCTGCCTGAAAATAAGATTTGGGTCAAAGAGAGCACAGAGATACTTAAAGTGATCCACTACATCAAGTCTCTCTCTGTTCACATGGACACTTGGCTTCTGGTCTTCTGCTGGTTGGCGCCAAAAAAAAAACCCCATACAAATAGTTTTTTTAGTATTAATAAAAATAATAATGTGTATGAATTGTCATCATTGTATGTTCCCATAAAATGGCGAAATTGGCTCTCTGCATTTAACCCATCCACCATCAGGTGGAGCAGTGGGCGGCCTTTGGAGGCGCCCGGAGAGCAACTGGGGATGGGGTGTCCTGCTCAGAAACACCACGAGATGTGCAATGACCAGGGATCGAACCCAGGACCTTCAGGTCCTGAGTCGGCTGCCCTGCTCCTACACCATCTCGGTCCTCATTAAGATGTAAGCATGAATCTTGAAGCCCAACACTAGTACAGTAGTCCCTTGATTATCATGGGGGTTGCGTTCCAGACCCCCAGCGATAGATAAAAAACTGCAAAGTAGGAACTCTACATTTATTTTAGTATTTATCTATATTTTAAGGCTTTATAAACCCTCCCCACACTCTTGCTATGTTCTAAACTCTTAAACCTACGTCATTTTAACAACATACGTGCATGTACTGCACAGCAGCAACGTACTGCAAACAAAACCACACAATGGTCCCGATCGAGTCCAAATTTGGATGAAAAAAGTCCTTGTGAACTCCGGAGAAAACACCGGACCTCTAAGCAACGCCTCCCTGCCAGGGAGGCTCCATGGGCTGGCAAGCAGCGCTCAGATTGACCGATGATGCTGGAAGTCCGTTGCTGGTCCAATTCCCGGTTGGTTCTGTACGGCTCTCTGCATCCACTGAGCACCGAAGTCAAATAAGGAACAAACTTTTTCAGATTGGATCAAAACTTTTCCTCCTTTTCATCAGAAAGCAGCGGCCGAAAGCACTGTTGGCTTCTGGGTAATGTAGTTCTTTTGACTGGCGATACAGTGTAGGCTTATTGAGAGAAAACTAGAAAATGGCAGCGCCTGTCCGAAGTATCCCGTACTGTCCCTATTAATATAATCCCTAATATTAAAGTTGACAACCGTGTGTCGTGTACAGTTTTATTTTTCCTTGTTCAATCTTACTTGGAAAAACCGCGAGGGACTACTTGAACAGCTGTGATGTTTTTGCAACTGAAGTTGATTTAAGTTAGCAGCATCTGGTCAAAGGTTTGTAAGATCAACCATCCCGGTGGATGAAAACAAAAAAGGTTAAATCATGTCATCTGGACAAGTTTGGTCCTGATCTGCCTCAGATTCTCCAAACAGCGTTCATTCAAAGAACTATTCACAACAGGTAGAACAAACTGTTCATAACGTTACCACGACTTCATAAAATCAGAACTATTCCTTTAAATCCAAGCCCCTCCGTGGTTTTCTTCCTTCTTGAATCCTCTCCTCTGACTAGTTTAATTGTGCCCCTGCAGGATGACGTGGTGGAGGACAGCATGGAGGTGGACGTTCGACACCACCGTCACTTCGTGTGTCGGAGAGGTCAGGTGCTGCGGGAGCTGGCGGAGGAGTACGGCGGCGTGGCCGTGAGCTTCCCCCGCACCGGGTCCAACAGTCAGAAGGTGACTCTGAAGGGAGCGAAGGACTGCGTGGAGGCGGCTAAGAGACGAATCCAGGAGATCATAGAGGACCTGGTAAGACCGATGCCATAAAAGTAACATCTAAACTTTGGTCATAAATACAAAATGACTCAACTGTAGCTTTGTGCCTCAATGAGACAAACACGTTTTATTGTTCTCAGTGGAAACATGGAGGGAAGCCAAAAATATCCCAACACTTTAATTAGTTTTTCTTCTTTGTGTTCAGGAGTCCCAGGTGAGCGTAGAAGTGGCCATCCCTCAGCGATACCATCGCTCCATCATGGGGCCCAAAGGCTGCCGCATCCAGCACATCACCCGGGAGCACGAGGTCCAAATCAAGTTCCCCGAGAGAGACGACAGCGCCGCAGGTTAGAAACGCAGCCGGTTGTAGCTGAACTGCTGCACGAGGCTGAAGAAGAGCAGATTCAAAACGCAAGACTCGCTTTCGACTCGAACGGGTCAAATCTGTAATCTGGTGTTTGTGGTAAACTCTCAGGTCAGGAGGCTTCGGCACAGGAGAACGGTGACGTCAGTCCAGAGGCGGAGTTTGTCCCACCCAAATGTGACATCATCGCCATCTCTGGACGGGTGGAGAAGTGCGAGCTGGCTAAAGCAGCCTTGCTGGTAGGTATCATTTTAGTTTGGTTAAATCTTCATTACTGTCCCCCGTCGCGGAGCGAAGAGAGTAGCTGGAAACGTATTTGTCTCGTGAACGGAATTACTTGAGAAATAAGGGACTTCCATTTTGGTGTGTGGCTTTATCTAAACCAGGGGTCTGCACCCTTTACGATCAAAACAGACACTTTTACAAACAAAGTCCATGCTCAATAATCCAGGTATACAATCCAACAATTTTCAGTCAGGTCATCTGGACAGTTTTCTTTTTTTTTGTGCTGAAACGTTTCACCTTCCATCCAGAAGGCTTCATCAGTCAAGGAAACACACAACAAAACTGATTCTTCCCCCAAACAGCTTACTCCAAAGTGGAACAAACCAGTTATGTTGGTGCTAAGATGGTCTCTTTGGCACGCCCCCTCCTGGCCCTCTCCCTCGTCGACAGTCATGTCAAACTGGTTCAAAACCAACAAAGTCCATGCTCAATAATCCAGGTATACAATCCAACATTTTCAGTCAGGTCATCTGGACAGTTTCTTTTTTGTTGTTGTTTGAGCCGCATGTGGCACCAAACAATTTTACACCTCGTTCACTAAATTAAACGTGTCCAGAGCCACAACCACCTTCTACAACGGTCATTGTCAAGTGGTAGCCCGTGGGCCACTTTAAGTTTGTTGGAGGGGGCTTTTGTGGCCTGTAGGAGCCACACATCATAAAGCTAAAAATATCTAATGATTTTTAACATTTATAGATCTTTTTACAATTTAAAACAAATGACCAAATCCTTGTAAAGAAGGAAAAAATAAATAAATTGTATTTTTTTTTTTTTACATTCATTAAAAAAAGTGTGAGCTATGCAAACCTATGTGACTTTTTTGAATTGTGGAAAAAAATAATTAAATATAGAAATAAAGCAAGAGGGCAGCATGGTGGTGCAACTGGTAGAGCTGCTGCCTCTCAGTGAGCAGGTCCCTGCTTTAAATCCCGGTCCGGGGACCTTTGTGGAGTTTGCATGTTCTCTCCGTGCATGCGTGGGTTTTCTCCGGGTACTCCGGTTTCCTCCCACAGACCAAAAACATACATGTTAGGCTGATTGGTAACTCTAAATTGTCTCTAGGTGTGAATGAGAGAGTGAATGGTTGTTTGTCTCGTTTGTCTCTCTGTGTCCCTGTGATGGACTGGAGACCCGTCCAGGGTGTACCCCGCCCCTCGCACAGTGATTGCTGGACATGGGCACCAGCAACCCCATGACCCAAAATGGAAGAAGCGGGTAAAGATAATGGATGGATGAAATAAAGCAGAAAGTTAAAGTATGTTTTACTTCCTGTAATAGTTTTAGATTTCACTTATTTGCAAAACAAATTACCAAAAAAAATAACTGAAAAATGAAAACTGCTGAAACCTGCTTTTGTTGTTGGTATAACAACCAATAAAAAATAAAATAAAAAAAGTTTTATAAGCTCAATGTATGGTACATAATCACAAAAACGTTAAATCATGTCATCTGGACAGATTAATTTTTGGAAATGTCTTCTAAAAACAACCAATAAATTTCAGTTTTATGTTTGTTTTGAAAGAGCCACTGCAGAAGGACCAAAGAGCCGCATATGGCACCAGAGCCGCAGGTTGCAGACCCCTGATCTAGGCGAAAGAAAGGTTCCTTTCAAAAATAGGGTTGCGACATCAGAATCAAAGATGGCCACCACCAGTCATTTGAGAAATTTATGCTCTCTGGTTTTTATATTGCTTAAAAATATATTTTCCTCAAATGATTGGGGCGACTGAAGGTTATTCTGTGGTGGTCAAGGCCACCATTGGCCACCCCTTGGCTCCACCACTGCACCTGGTGGTGGATAAAATTCCTCCCTCCACTCGCCAGCATCCGTCACTCTGCACCGCCTCAAACAAAAACACTTCCTCTGTTCATCTCCACAGTGTCGCTCCTACCTACTTGAATACCTTGCACCAAAAACATTCAGGTTAACTTACATTCAGTTCAGTTCCAGTCCAGAAAAACACTCAAACTACAAACATTCACTTTTCAAACCCCTTGCCGACGGGGCACTCGTCATTAATACTTTTAACAGCACGCTCTGCTGGTTTTAGCTTCTCATCATTTTTACTTCTGCTGTCATTTCTTCGTTCTGCAGGCGCTGGTGCCCATAACGCAGGATGTCGAAGTATCTTACGATCTCCATCGCTACATCATCGGCCAGAAAGGCAGCGGGATCAGGAAGATGATGGAGGAATACGAGGTCAGCCGACTCCTGCTCCCTGCGTAGACGGGATTACAAGGCTCTCCTCGAGGGCGTTTTGTTTACGCGTGTGTTTTTCATGTGCAGGTGAACATCTGGGTGCCGCAGCCTGAGAAGCAGCTGGATGTGATCAAGGTGACGGGCCTGGCGGCCAACGTGGAGCGAGCCAGACTGGGTCTGCTGGAGCGGGTCAAAGAACTTCAGGCCGAGCAGGAGGACAGGGTACGAAGACAGAAAATCTTCACGCCAGGTTTTCACCTGCGTGGGCTCTTTTTATGTTTTTATGCTCAATTTATTTTACCATATTTTTCACTGTATACATTTCATCAGTCCAAAAATGTCTAGTAAAGTGGGAAAAAAACATAAATACGTCGCTTTGCCATACAAGTCTCATCTATTGTGCGTCACCGCTGACAACCTGGAAACGTGGCCCGGTGTTGTGCCAAAAATCGATTGGCTGCCATAATGGTGGCCGCGGGAGAGTGCAATGGAGGACTTTAACAAGAATTTAACAAGAATAACACCTAAAAACAATTATTTGTTTGCTCGAAATTATAGCAAAGGTGTGTCTCAGTTGAACTTTTACTTAATAAATGCACTTTAATGGACAAACCAGCTGCATTTCTCCTGGGCTGTGCGGAGAAATGCAGCTGGTTTGACGTTTGCTCCAGGAGTTGTGGAGCGAGACGAAGGTGGCTTTGTATGGCAAGCTAAGTGTCTCATTAATAGACACTTTTACCTATTAATGAGACACTTGGCTTGCCATAAGGCTCAAGGAACCTCTAGTGACTAAAAATGGTAGTGTTCAATATTTTTCATGTCCGAATTAATGAAATTGTCAGATCTCAGCCAAAAATTGGTTTATAAATATGGGGAAAATGTATATTAGTCGCTCCGGTGTATAAGTCGCAGGACTTGCAAATTTATACAAAAAGGTGCGATTTTTACAGCAAAAAATACGTTATTTGTAAATTTATAGCCTCAACTTCAATTATACACAGCAAACACTTGAGAAAACATCAGAAAATATAGATAAGAAATGAAACGAACAGTACAGAACATGTATAAATCATGAATCTTGGCTGTACTGTAAGGATGACGTCTCCGTGGATCTGTCTCCTCTCAGGCCCTGCGCAGTTTCAAGGTCACCATGTCTGTGGATCCAAAGTTTCATCCTAAGATTATCGGCCGCAAGGGGGCGGTCATCTCTCAGATCCGAAAGGACCACGATGTCAGCATCCAGTTCCCCGACAAAGGAGACGACCAGCAGGTGTGTGCTTCACTTTCGCTGTAGAACACGAGGAATAAAGCGAGTATCTTTCTTGTTGCTTATATAGAGGCTTTATTTTTTACTTATTTCGTAATAGTAGTTATTTATGATTCTGCGTCCTCTTTCAGGATCTGATCGTGATCTCTGGGTACGAGCGGAACGTAGAGGAAGCCCGCCAATCGATCCAACAGCTGGTGGCTGAGTTACAGGAGATGGTGAGCCAGGATGTCCATCTGGACCCTAGGACTCATGCGCGCATCATCGGCGCCCGCGGCAAAGCCATCCGCAAGCTGATGGAGGAGTTTAAGGTACGACCTGACAGAGGGTCGATGGGTTATTTTTTACTTCCTACAGAGCAGTTTCTGTGCTGGCTTTAAAAGTGTCTAACAGGTTTATAAAAATATGTAAAAACTGGTTTAGTTTTCGGCAGCACGGTGGCGCAACTAGTAGAGCTGTTGCCTCTCAGCGAGCAGGTCCTTGGTTCAAACCCTGGTCCAGGGGCCTTTCTGGGTGGAGTTTGCATGTTCTCTCCGTGCATGCATGGGTTTTCTCCGGGTACTCCGGTTTCCTCCCACAGACCAAAAACATGCATGTTAGGCTGATTGGTAACTCTAAATTGTCCCTAGGTGTGAGTGAGAGAGTGAATGGTTGTTTGTCTTGTTTGTCTCCATGTGGCCCTGTGATGGACTTGCGACCCGTCCAGGGTGTACCCCGCCCCTCGCACAGTGATTGCTGGACATGGGCACCAGCGACCCCCGTGACCCAAAATGGAATAAGCGGGTAAAGATAATGGATGGATGGATGGATGGTTTAGTTTTCCACTCAGAACAACATCAGTATTAGGGCTGGACGATATATTGAGTACAGTAGACCCTTGTACGTGTTGTTCCAGACACCCCTGCGATAGTTGAAAATCCATAAAGTTGGAATGCTATATTTATTTTAGTATTTATATATATTTTATGGCTTTATAAAGCCTTCCTACACTCTTGCAATGTTCTAAACTCTCTAAATGCTCTAAAAGAGAGCAGACAGACTGATGCTATGGTTATTGAGCCAGTCGCCGGGCGGATTGGCCATTGGGGGCACCGGGACATTTCCCGGTGGCCTGGCCCTCTCAGTGATCACCTGGACTAAAGGCTCGGTTCAGGTCGTGCTTTATTATTTTAAATAAACAATCTATGCCGCTCACTCAGGTATCTGCCTCACTGAAGCTTCCTGAGCAGTAGCGATGGGGAAAGACAGACCCCCCCTTCTCTTCCTGAGGCTGTCACAGCAGAGCAGACACACAACAGGTTGCAAGCCCGCCTGTTGGTTCAGCCCCTCAGAGATCACTGAGCGGGCCAGGCCACCGAGAAATGTCCCGGTGCTCCCGATGGCCAGTCCGCCCATCAGCACAATGCTCTGGTTGGTTGCCTTCCATCAAGCGGCCTGTCTTGTACAATCTTACGCTGAAAACCTGTGAAAGAGTGAGACCATGAAAGGAACTGCTAAGTATCGAGGGCCGACTGTGTACACAATATATTGTTGGTGCAGTATCTAAACCGACTGTCGTACAAATATTTTGTAGCACCTGCATCTAGTTCAGTAGTTCAGCTTTTCCCAGGCGCCTCTAATGCATCACAGCTCCACATCTCCCATCCTGAAAACCCAGGCAGAAAAACATTTAGTTTATTTTTTGGTTGCGATTCATTTTTTTCACCTTGCTATACTGTCAAATGTTATCCGAGCGTAATGGAGTGACTGGTCTGGAGAACTTTTGTGTCTTTTCTTCACGAGCCACCTTACGTGTTTTAGTGATCAAACTCTCACGCTCTGGCCTTCGGTTTGACAGACCGCGTCCTGGTTTTTGTTCTGCGGTCATTAAAGACTGTTTTGCTGTTGGATGACGTCGGATAGAGCTAAAGTTTGTTTTTATCACAGTGAAGGAACGCATCAGAGAGCAAAGTGTTGTTTGTTTTTATCAATTAATGTTTAAACTCTTAGGATCGTATGCGGTCAGCAGTGACTGTTTATCTTACGTGTGTGTAGCTACGTCTTGTTTCTTTAAAAATAAACTTGTGTGTGAATTAAAGAGATGTGAATCGAGTAACACCAGTCAGGTTTTTAAACAACGATAAGTATTTTTAATCTCTTGATCAAATGGGGAGTTTCACGCCACGCAGGATCCATAAACACCATCTGGTGACATAAAAACAATAATAACCCGTATGATCGTGTTTCAAACGGTGTTTATGAATGCATTTGAAAACGGTGAATTGTTGCTCAGTTTGACCCTAAAACGCTCCGATCTGCTCCTCGTTCAGGTGGATATCCGGTTCCCTCAGCCAGGCTCAGACGAGCCCGACAAAGTGACGGTAACGGGCCTCCCCGACACCGTTGACGCCGCCATTGATCACCTGCTCAACCTGGAGGAGGAATACGTGAGTTCAGTGAGAGACGTTAGCGAGGCTCCTGGTTTTATTGTTAAAGGTGTAATTATCAGTTCATGAACGCTTAGATGGAATCAAATATCCTGTAAGCCAGTGTTAGATCTAAATTAATGCTTCATATTTGGTTTTGTGACGCATATTACAGATTTAAAGCAGGATTTCGGTGTTAATGGCAGCGTCTACAGTGAATCCGTCCGATTGAAATGAAAACATGAAACGCAACAACAAACTCATTTTAATGGCAGATTTGAAAAAGTTGTTCCAACATTATTTTTTTTGCCACAGCTTAACTGATTGACTAGCAAAAGCAAAAGGCTGTACCTGTCCATTAAACAACAATTATCCAGCTGAATACAGAAAAACAACATTAAATATCATGTAATCAAATCAGTGCTGAAGTTTTGCACTTTTAGCTAGTGTTTACTAAAAAAATCTAAATTTATGTGACCCGTTGTGGCAAAATGAGTCAGAATGAGTAATTTTTTAAATGGAGTCATTTTGATTTTTAAATTATTTATCTCAAAAAGTTGAAAATGATCCATAGTTTTTTGAAATGTGATGATTTATTGCCTGTTAGCAACAAGCTAGTTTTGTTTAAGAGTGTCTGTTTGTGTGTGTGTGTGGGGGTGTCTGGAGCAAGGTCTTCGGGTACTCTGTACTAGGACAGTAGCCCCGAACTTCACAAAGATGCCAAGTATTATATGAAGGGATTTCCCAGCGTTATAGCAGTCATCTAAGATAAATGGTCAATTTCAAAAAGGAATTAAAAGGATTCAGAATACATAAACTGTTATAAAACAAATTTAAATGTACATTAAGAAGATTATATGCAATTTTAGTTTTCTGGATCACTAGGTGGCGTCTTTATGAACTGTTTTTTTTTGTATGCTAATCCCAATCACAGCAAACATCAATATTTTCAGATTTTTTTGCACTGCAGCCTGTGAGCCCAGCCTGACTCATTTTGTCAGCATGGGTCATGTATTTGTAGTTGAACTGGTAAAATAACAAACCTGGTGTCTGATTTCATCCATGGATTTCACAGTAAGAAGTATTTCCTGTAAGAACAGCACAACTTTTAGAGTTCGGTGGAAAATGTTCTGCTGCTCTGACAGCTTTGTAAAGAGCGGGTTTCTCTCCCTCCTCAGCTGCTCAGTGTGACGGAGACGGAGACCATGGCAGCGTACATGAAGCCTCCGTCTCGTTACGGAGGGGGAGGGGGAGCAGGAGGAGTGGATGATGGCAGTGGGGGGCCGGCTAAGGGCTTTGTGGTGCGGGACGCCCCATGGAACGCAGCAGGGAACAAGGTGGGTCTTACTAAATCAAGGCTGTTTTAAACATTTATTTATAAAAGTAATAGAAGCAGACAGGGTAAAAGAAAGAGGATTGTGATTATTTCTTGAAAAACTGTAAATATGAATGGATAAAAAAGAATGCATGTACAGAAGGCTATTGTAACATAATTTATATATTGGCCTCATAGCTTATTTCTTTTGTTATCAAAATAGTCAAAATAAAATGTATACTAGTCAGAAATGAAAGGTATTTAAAATAATCCTATTAGAAAATTACATAATTGCATTATAAAAACTTTTAAAAGTGAAAGTTTATGTAATTTGTCTAAAAACCTGAAAGAAATTGTGTTTGATGGGACGTGTTACAGATATTCATAGTTCAATCATCTGTAGTATAAAAAAATTTCATATATACAGAAAATGTTAATTTTCTAACATAATTATTTTTCATAATATCTACAAATATCCACAGTGTCATATTTAATTTCACCTGTTTTATTTAAGATGCCGTCTCGTCACTTTCCTCATGGATAACAGAAATATCTTTGTAGGTATTTATAACTACATTGTTGCAAATGTTATTTTAATTAGATGCCTAAACAGCTTTTCACTTGTCATAAAGCCGTTTTGCAAATCCCTCATAAAATTAAATATCTGACATAAAGTCTATGACTGGTGCTAATGAGACTGTAGACATCTTAAACGAGTCGTAAACTCTGGTAGGAGTTCTATTTATGAGGATTGATCTCAAAGGAAGCAGGTAAAGGGAGAAAAGCAGGGGACCTAAAATAGAGCTCTGTGGAACCCCAAACCACAGAGGAGCTGTTAAATGACTTGTAAACTCTAGAGGGATACTGTTTCTGAGGCAGTGGGAAGTAGGGGTGCAGACGGCAATGCAGCACTCATGATAGAAGCCAAAGGAAATTGTCTTCATTTTACAGCTGCTTAAAAACCACAAAATGTGGGCAGATTAGAATTACATTATGAATAAACTGCATATTTAACATCCTTATTTGAATAAGACAACTTTTACTGAACATAGGTTAATTCACTTGTGCTTACAGCAAACCCCCAATGAAAAAACCTTCCCATGGATAGCGGGTCGGTTTCAGATTCCCTTTATTATTATACTGCTGTTGTACTTGTTGATATAGGAAGCTGAAAAAAACACAAATGACAAACGTGACGTCATTTGTCCCTGAAAGAATTATATTTGAGATATTTAATTTGAATTATAATTGCAAAAAATGGCATTCTGGATAGCAGAAATGTTCATTCAAGAAGAAAGAATTGTAGTACGGTTATCTGTTTTTGACGAGCTTGTCTAACTATTATATAATATATTGGCTTGCCATACAGTTAACTTGATAAACACTTTTGTGTTTGTTTGTTTCAGGCTCCTGACATGAGCAGTGCAGAAGATTTCCCCACTTTTGGGACTGGCGTGGCTCCGAAGCAAACCTCGGCCTGGGGTCCCAAGAAGTTCTGAAGTTGCTCTTACATGGAGAAAAAACAGAACAAAAACCTTCGCTAAAGTAGATAATGAGACAAAACTAATTTCAAACTGCTGCTCGCCTTCCTCCTCTTCCTTGTTGTATCTTTTACATCCAGTTTATCTTCTTTGCTGTTCTCCCACAACCAGCCACAGTGAATTCTGGGAGAATAATTCCTTTATTTTTATTTTTATCCTATTTGTCTCTCTTACTGTAGTTTGTCCCATTCCTCTAAGAGAGGACATATAATGCTCTTATTATCATAGTTTTGCTGTCCTGCTCTGACTCTTTGTGTCCTCAGTCAGTCTGACTGAAACATTTCAAAAACACTTGTTTGTTTACCTTCTGGTCTAACTCAGTCAAGTCCCGGTAAAAATATGAAATGTTTCAGTTGCTCAGACTTTGCTGAATCAGTGTAGTAGAGCCATAGAAAGGAAATCTCCTCAAACATCTAAAGCAAAACGCTTTCAGGGACCTGGGTATCATGTTACAGAGGCTATATCTGAAATTTTGGAGCTTCAAAAAAGGGGCGGAGCCAGAGAGTTTGTGACCCAAAAAAGACCCCTTTTAGATGCTTTTTTGTGGTTTCTCTCTGGTCCACCGTGCCGGTCACTAACGTGGTACAACAGGTGAGATGTTAGCTGTGTGTTTATGTATGTCGATGGGAGTTTTTTCCCACCCACTTGTGTTTTTATAGATTCCGTTTTTATTATTTGTTTTTCAAGCTAGAAACAAAAACAGCTGCTGGACATAACATTGTACTTATTTTCTGTTGACTCAAAAATGATGTGAACGTCCTGTAATGAAGGTTGTTTTTTTGTTTGTTTATTGAAAAAAGGAGCCATTTTCTTTGAACTACTGTGATCATCTGTTTTTATATATAAAAAAAGCACTCACTGTAGCTTGCAACCTTTTGTTTGAGAGTGAATGCTGTGTGTCAGGGTTCGGAGAAAAATGTTAACAGTTATTATGTGCAAGTGTAAGAAAAAACTACTTTTCCTGCTATTTTTTTAAACTGTGTGGGACATTTTTGTTGTTGTCGTCGTTGGTTTCGGGCATATTTGAAAGACTGTATGTTTGTGCGAGAGTGTGGGAGTTAAGATGTAAATTTGAATGAAGCTGAACCAAACTTTTTACATCTTCTTTGTCTGTTTCTCTTTTCTGCAAACTCATTTTAAGGTTTTTGACTTTTTAGCTTGCCTTTTAAACTTGCCTAATGTGTTATGTTCCCCCAAAAAGCTCAGTATAAAGAGCCACATATTGTCCCTTCCCCCCATCGTTGATAATTTGTAGCAAAAAAACCTTGAGAGGCCCTTATTCCCTTTTCTGGTTCTAAGACTTACCTTGTGCTTGACTACTAAACTGTTGAAAACTTAAACTAGTGTTAAACCTGCTGTGTTCCTGCAGTTTTAAAGGAATAGTCAAACACTTGGGAAAATACAAGTTCCTCATCAAAAATTATGGGAAGATTGAGATTGGTAACTTACCTGTTGACATGTTTGGCAACCATTGCTTGCTGTAGATAGCCGTTTGGAGCAACAGTTTATTTCTGATCAGATTGATGAGCTAACGGCTAGTCTCAGCAGGGCCAAGACCAAAGTGGATAGCTGACGAATAAAACGGCTCCGGTCTCCAAAACGTCAGCAGTTCAAATGAGTACGGTTTTTAAAGTATTTTACTCTGCCGTCAACGTTGTATCTTGTGGTTGTTTACGTAAAGGATTTATGGTCATTTGTGAGCACAAATGGCGGCTTTTGATGTGGCCCGTGGCATTTCCAGCAGAAATGTATCATTTCTGTTAAAACCATGTAATGTGAAATTGATTTTTTTTTTCAAATGACCACCTAAACCGCTACAGTTTGTAGTTTAAGATGGCATCAGTCCACTTTACCTTGAACTAGCCAATAGCTCATCAAAACTATTTTTTATTAACTAAGTTTGTTCAAAGGGCTATTTACTGCAAATATTCATATTTTCAGAAAACCCCATTTTAAAATGATATATTTGATGACACTACTTCAGGATAGGACTAGCCCTCAAAGGTTTAATAATCTGGTTAATGAGAGGGCTGTAAGCATTTTATACAATGAGCTGTGCATCTATTGGATGAAAATGAGCATTGGTGACTTGTTTCTTCTCAAACAGTGAGCCTGTTTACAGTTTTACAGTTTATCTACATTAATCTTTGATTAGTGAGATATGAGGTTTGTCAGGAACTCTTAAAAATAAGTCATTAAGTTCTTAAATGAACATTAACAAACCTCAGTAAGCACTGACCCTGCATCAGTTAAAAAATGTTTTGTAACTTTTTTTTAAAGTGTTTATAAGCTATTTAATAACATAATTTTACAACTTGTACACATTTTTAAGGGTAGTCTTAATGCATTGTCACTGTTAGCTACAATATTATTTTTCCTAATCTGTACAAATACAGAAATAAAGCTGCTAATTCTTCATTTTAAATACCAGATTACCTCACAGCATTAATACTTTGCTGCACACAGTTCCATCTACTAGTGGTATTTCTGTAAATTTATATATATATAATATATAAACTGTCCATAAGAAGAGACATCTTCTCTGTTTTGTGCATTCAGGCTCATCGTCTGCAGCGTTTCAAGTCTTTGAAGCTACTTAAGACCTGACTTCCACTCAACAGAGCAAACCCACCTAAAATCAAACCATTTGATTTATTCCCAGGGAGTGAAATTAAAGGATGAAGGATTAGGACTTGCAAAAAGGTGCAAACATGAGTCGACTTGTCTGCGTTGCATTTTCATCATCACCTGCAGTTGTGGTTTAACTCGCCCTGTGGGACAGAGAATTAGTCAATTGTCCAGTTTTAGTTGCTTAAGTGTATTTTAACGACGTTATGCGCATTTTGTCAAATGACGGGACCAGCAAGCAGCAAGTTTCTGTTAAAAACTATAAAATAAAACGTATTTAATGAGTCAGTGATATTTTGGACAGATTGTAAATGAGTGCACATTTGCAATAACAAGTCCGTGGTCTTTCTCCCTGCTTTAAATAAAAATTTAAATGGAAAAAAAAAAAATCCAACAGGTTTGGTCTTTCCCCATCCTAGTTCACACAAAGCACCCCTCTGTGCATACTGTCATTTTAATTATTTTATAAATCAGAAAGATATGATTTGTTATGTAACAGCCTGTACAACACAACATACAGAGGGAAAAATATACAAATAAAAATGTACAAAGCAGCACTGTGATGTCAAATACCCCGTGTAACAACAGCTTTCACATTTTTCCCATTGGAAGATTTCTAACAAACAATCCGTCATCTGAGGGCGATTTAGCTTCTCGAGCTGTGACCTGAAACACCGGCTCCTGCGGAAGGGTTCGAGTCGGCCGAAACACTGATAGGTAGCTGCTCGTGTACGATCGAAGCGGGCGCCTTCGATACGATAAACTTCTGTACAAACGTTTTGACAAATGTAAAACAAGCGTGGGGTAAAAAAACAAAAACGCATGAGCCCTAATAAATAACATTCACATGTGAACAGCGCCGGTCGTGGGATGGATGAGCGTGGAGGACGGGATCGATGAACGAGTGGAAATGTGCCTGTTTTACAGACTGTAAACGATGATGGGGAACAAAACTGAGGGGATGTGAATGAGCATGCGCACTCTTGGTTTTAGGTGATACTTTTTAGAAATGCACTTTATTTTTCTTTAAAATGAAAGAATAAACTCTTAACGTAAGTCCTGTGGGAACAGTCTATCGTTTAAAAAAAAAAAAGGATTTATTGTAAATATTCGCAGGTCTTTTAATGGTTGGACTTTTGAACCTATCTATTAAACTATTGTGGTGCCCGTTGCTAGGTGGCCAGGAACTGTTGCCTAGCAACAGGTGTGCTGTGAAAAGGACCCCACGCGCACGTCAAGGCCTTTTTTTTGCTGATAAACTGAGTGAAAGTAAACAATCTGAAGTGATCGTTATATTCGGTCATTTCATTTTGATGTATACAGTTTATATTAAACTGACTTTGGAATGCGCTTTTTACGACGGGGGTAGTTTTGTACGTTGGGGGGGGGGGGGGGGTCGACGCACCAGTCCAGTCGCCATGAGCATGTAGCTTTTTATTTTTGGCACGTAGTTCTAATTTGGATTTAAACCAACAATGTTAATCTGGAGTTTTACGTGTATTTCACCATCGCTGGAAAGTCTGACTGCCGTTTCGGCGCCGTTTTATATCTTTATGCTAAGCTAACCAGCGGCTAGCATCGCAAGTAAAAACATGCAATCACCATCTGGTTTCCATAGCAACACCGAGCTTGACAGCTCTGTATGGGGTAAACAAGTCAAAATATTTACGTAACAAAAAAAAAAAAAAAGTCTTAATAAAATGTGTGCTCACCATCTGGTTTCCATAGCAACACCGAACTCTACTGCTCGGCGTGGGGTAAACGAGAAAAAATATTTACGCAACAACAAAAAAAAAAAAATCTTTAGTAAAAGTATACACTTTAATAACACAAAATTATGGCATAAATATTTACGAGTTATTTTGTTCAAGTCCGTTTGGAGTTTGTAAAATATATTTGCGGGAGCAGCGGTGCTAGCTGCTAGCTTGATTTGTAACATATAAAAATTTAGAAAAGTCTTACTTTTAGCGGGAAAAAACTATTTAAACTGAACCAGAACCCAGATGGTTTTATTTCCCGGTCTTTAAATATTTACTGACAGATCACGTTGTAGGTTCAGAGCTAACTTTTCTCACCTGGCACCATTTTATAGTCCCGAAAGGTGAGGCAGCTGTTTTTAGAGGATACATCTTCACTCCAGCTTTGTCCTTTAGATTAAAGCTTGTGAATGACTGTCATTTGAAAAAAAAAAAAAAAAAAAAAAAAAGTGATATTGGCCCAAAATAGAAAACTGAAGTGATTAAAAAAGCCGGTTTATGAATATGGAGACATAAAAAGGGCAGCGATGAACAGTGTAATTGTGTAAACATTTTTTCTTCTTCCAGTTTTAAAATTTATCCCCTACATAGGTCACAATCACATATTATTTTGGGTTCATGATAATATTCAAGTTTCTTTTTCAACATTATTGTTAAAACCATGTCCCTGTTGTGTTTTCAAACTTACGTTTCAGACATTTCTATGAATCGGTTTAACCCGCGAACAAGAAACAGTTTCTCCCAAAATGAAAAGTTCTCGTGAGAGGAGTCTGAGCCTGAGAGCAGAAATCAGGAAAAGCCTTTTGAAGAGTGAAGAAAATAAGATGAAGCTGGAAAAAGAGCAGATGAACAAACGTTCTGTGTCGATGAGTAGTTTAAAAATCGCCCACAAGTGTCCGAAACATAAAGTGCAGGCAGTGTCTGTTCTTTGAGATGGCCAAAACCTTCATCCGTCAAAAAAAAGAGTCCGAGAGCGAACAACGAAAACAGATGTTGAGTCGTCAACAATCCACAGCAGGACCAGCTGGATTCCAGAGGAGCCTGAATTTGTCCGTTGATCTAAAGTACTTTATTCCACCTGAATGCCATCTCCGACGATTGGTCACTCGACCCGAATGAGCAGTCCGTAGAGGAGCGTGCCACCCTGCTCCTTCGTGATCCACTCGATCTCTGAGTTACTAAAGCGAGGGTCCAGGGCCTCGCTGTGCCCAAGCGTTTGAGGTCCCACCTTATAGGAGCCCGGACGCACACACACCTGGAAACCCACCTGAGCCTGGTGACAACGATGAGAGCGGGGGTCCCTAAATCTGCAGAAGGAGAACAGCTGTCAGAACACGTCCAGCCTCGATGACTCAAAAATCAGGAAACAACTAGAGAAATTGGATTTCCTGTCAAAATACAGTGTGAATGTTTATGGCTGAAGAACTTGCTGAGAAACAGCTGAAATTAGCTTTAAGCATGCTGAAATGGAAGAACAAACTGAAGTTAGCAGAAGAAAGCAGAAAGAACACGTTTGCTGAATTATGTTTAAAGCAGAAATTAGCAATAAATAAATAAATAAATAAATAAACAACTGAAATTTGCCAAAACAACAGCTGAAAAGCAGCTGAATGAAATGAATCTTAAACTACTGGAAGGAAGTGGAAAGCACTGAAATGAGCTAAAAAAAATGTAGCATTAGCTGAAAAGCATAAACTTAGAACAAAAACAGCTAAATAGTAGCTGAAATAGCAGAAAAAAGTTTAAACTAGCAGGAATAAGTTGAAAAGTCCACAACAAGCTGAAATTAGCATAAAGAAATTAATTAGGCTGAAAGTAGCAGAAATTAAAAAAACTTGAATTTCATCTTAAAACTTCTGAAATTAGCTAAAAAGTAGCTGAAAATGTAGAACAAGCTTAAATTAGCAGAAGTTAGTAGAGAGAGCACAATTTTACCTAAATTGGCTGAAAGAAGCAGAAATGAGCACAAAAAAGCGGATTTTATCTGAAAATGCTGAACATAGCAAAAAACAGCTAAAAAGTAGCTAAAAGGGCAGAAAGAAGCTTAAATTAGCAGAAGGAAGTGGAGAGAGCATGGTTTTTTTTGCCGAATTGGGCTGAAAAAAGTTGAAATGAGTGCAAAAACATGGAATTAGCCGAAAATAATTTGCATAAAAGCAGCTAAATAGTAGCTGGACTTGCAGGAATAAGCAGAAAGGAGCATAAAGAAGTTAGAAGCACAAAATGTTGTATTTAGCAGAAAGAATCTGAATGGAGCACAAAACAGCTGAAAAATTTAAATTTGCTGAAAGAAGCTGAAGCAGAACAAAATGTGAACGGAGCAGTAAAAGGTTGTAAACACAAGTGAAGGACGTAAAATGAGCTCAATTCATTTTCTATGAGGAAAAAAAAACTACAAGTGACAGAAAAGGCTAAATATTTCAAACAGCTAAAGTTGCACCAATACCAAAAGTCCTGAAACGGCTGAACGTTTTGATTTATGATTTGTTGAAATGGAACAAAAACTGTGAGACGAGAAAGATGCTGAAAAACGTACAGAAGAAAAATGGCTCACAATAGTGTGAATGTTACATAAACATTCAGACAGATAAATAAATAAACAACTGTAGGCTGCGACACGACATGTACGACGAACTCACTGCACTTTGGGAGCAAAGATCTCCAAGCCGGAGTAACGCATGGTGGGGGAGAGCCGCACCCTGGGAACCTCCCTGCCGGGGGTGCTGTTCTCCTCCGGCTCGCTGTAGCCGTTTGGCCCCTCCGTCTTCACCGGAGACACGAAGATGGACGAGGTCCCTGCATCCAAACATAGTAAAACAGTGAGCACTAAGTATCACGTCAACAACATCAAGTAGTTCTGATAAAAATAAATGGAGGCGGGCGAGTGTTGGTTGTACCAGGCAGTAGCTGGCCCTGGTCCAGCGTGCGCCGCAGGATTCCCACGCTGGTGCCGTGGTACGCGATGTGCCACTTTAGTGCATTAGAAACATCACAGTGGGACTTTATCCTGCCAAAATCACAAGGGTGCAATTAAGAGCAGACAGTAACAAAATGAAAAAGATGCACAAAACTTTTGGTACCTGAAACAAATTTTTTCTGATTTGTTGTAAGAAAAAACAGATTTGAGGGCTCGGCCTTGAATTTGACCTTTTGACGGTGGCCATTTTGGCTATTAACACTAAAATCAGCAGGCGGTAACTATGGAGACGACAAATGTAGCAGCTGTACACGTCACAGGAACATTTTCCCAAGAGATTTCTGATCCAAACTACAGGAGTTGTACTCCTGGCCAGCTAGGCCTGTCGCACGCGAAAATTATCGACCTCATCTCCATTTATCGGCTTTTTCGTTTCTTCGTGTCTCTTTCTACTGAAAACACTAGACGCTCTTCACCGACCTCTCCCTTTCTCTTTAAAATCCGTTTTAACCGTCCACAATCGTGTTTTTGGATCGTTTGAAAGCAGCTAAGCTGAGAAGTGAAGCTACGAGCGCAGGTGGAAGATGGCGGTTCTAGTAACGTTTAAATTATACGAATTATAAATATTTTATAAGGATTAGGTGAAATATTGAAAATTATTCGTAGACTTCCACAACCATAGCACAAGGTGAGTTATAAAGACAATTAAAACATTTAACTGGATTTATTTGTATTTGTTCCCAAAAAGGCTCTTTATCTTTTTAAAGCTTGAATTGTTTTATTTTCCTAAAATGAGCGACTTGAATCAACCTTTATTAAAACATTTGCGCCCTCTGCTGGTAGAAGGGCGGAACTGATCCAGCGTCTCGCCGACTTGACGTTCCTCTCACCTGAGGGCGAAGCGGCACCACCCGAACGGCAGGGCGTAGTCCCGGGGCGGCTCTCCTCTCTTGTAATACGCCTCGTCGCCCCGGAGCTTGTGGCAGGACTCGCAGTAGCACAGGTTGCACTTCACGTCTTCGTTGAAGTAGCCGTCTTAACGGAAAAACGAGAAGAACCGTCACTCCTCACGTGGGGCGGCGCGGAGGGAAACGAAGGAAAAGCGACTCACCTGGTAAGGTGAGCAGGTCCTTGAAGCGGGCGCACAGCGCCTGGTACTCGCAGGTCTTGTTGGGGTTGACGTCTGGAGGAGGAGTCCAGCACACGCTCTCTTTGATCCCTGCAGGTCCAAACAGAGGAAACTCAGAACTTTGTCAGCCGGAGCCAACAGACTGACGCAACGTGAGCTCTGTACCGTCAACCATGTCCGCTTTCTCCATGTCGCCCTGACAACGACCCTCGCCGCTCTCTGCACCCACCGTCGGCACGGTGTTCGTTACTATGGTTACCTGTCATCATGAAAACGTGTATTAGCACGGTTATTGTTTGTAAAAATGCACCACCAATGTGTTTAGACTGAGCCTACAGCTGGCTCTTAAAGGGATAGTCCAGATGTTTTTGAAATGGAGCATGAACAGTTAACATGTTACCTGTTGCAGATAACGCCCTTCTGACCTCAGACTGGAGGAACAGAGTTTAATTCAGACCAGAATGACAAACAGCTGGTTCTAACTGGGCCAAAACCAAAGAGGCTTGCTGCCATCTTGAAACAACTCCACTATTAAAATGTTCATCGCATTTTTATTGCAGTTTACGTAAATTTATAGTCTATTTAATTTATTTATAATAAGATAAGACAGAACTTTATTGATCCCACAGGAAATTGTTGTGCCAGAGTTTCAATACAAAGGAACAAACACAAGGAATCACACAAGATTTAAAAAAAATAACAGAATATAAAAATACCAACAATTTATTAATAATTTATCAATCTTTACAGTGCAGTTAATGTAGAGTTACTACAAATATATTTACAGATGATATTAACAGTGTAATGTAAAACTGATGGGTAGCGATATTAAAATATTCAAAGTAAAATGAGCAAATTTAAAGAATGAATGCAACCGTTTTTCACAGCTGGTGCAGAGTTGTTTCCTACTAGGGCTTTTCCATTTGGACCATATTTCAATATTTTATATATTTATTTTTTAAACATCTACCGCCCGCCTCCCTAAAAAACAAATAGAAAAACAACTCGGAAGTGTCCCTTCTTCTGTTTCTGCCAACGTAGTTTATTTTGAAAGGATTACAAAGTAGAAACTAGCATCGTGAGTGAGCTGAGTTTTACTGTCAGAATACGTGCATTCCTGTTCTGGTGGAACAAGACGAGTATTTGACAAAAATATTTACATTTTTACGAACAAATTTAAATCAATCTTTAGCTTAGAATTTTCATTCATTCAACCTTTACTTATACAGGTTAGTCCCACTGAGCCTCGGGGACTTATTTACAGGAGAGACCTGAAAATGAACTGAGCTCATTTTACTTCCTTCAAATCTTTAGCTCTGTTTACAACCTTTTACTGCTCCTTTCACATTTTGTTCTGCTTCAGCTTCTTTCAGCTTCCTTGTGCAAATTTAAACTATTTTTTAGCTACTTTCAGCTGTTTTGTGCTCCTTTCAAATTCTTTTCCTCCAACTACAACATTTTTGTGCTTCTTCTAACTTCCTTCTGTTAATTTCAGCTTGTTATGCTCCTTTCAACTTATTTCTGCTAGTTTCACTTTTTCTGTTATTTCAGCTACTATTTAGCCGTTTTGAACTAATTTAAGCCTTTTCAGATAATTTCCACTTTTTTATGCTGATTTCTGCTTCTTTCAGCATAATTGGGCAAACGTTCTTTTCCGCTTTCTTCTGCTAATTTAAGCTTGTTCTACCTTTTCAGCTACGTCTTCAGTATTCTTTAGCTAATTTCAGCTGTTTTCAGATAAATTCAAGTTTTTCCTGGTAATTTCTGCTTCTTTGAGCCTAATTAACTTATTTCTGTTAATTTCAGCTTGTTATGCTCCTTTCAGATTATTTCTGCTAGTTTCAGCTTTTTCTGCTATTTCAGCTACCATTTAGCTATTTTGTGCTAAAATTTAGGTTTTTCAGCTAATTCCACTTTTATTTTCTATTGATTTCAGCTCCTTCCATTTCCTTCTGGTAGTTTAAACTTCTTTCTACCCTTTCAGCTACTTTTCAGCAATATATTTAGCTATTTTCAGCTTATTTTTAGCTAATGTCTCAATTTTTGTGCTACTTTCTTCTTATTCAAACCTATTTCAGCAAATATGTGTTCTTTCTGCTTTCTTCTGCTAACTTAGTCTTCCATTTCAGCTACATTTCAGCATGTTTTTAGCTGATTTCTGTTGTTTTTCAGCAAGTTCTTCAGCAATAAGCATTCACACTGCATTTTCACAGGAAATGCAATTTCTCTAGTTGTTAATAGCTTTCCCATAAAAGCCCACTTCAAAAAGGTTTGAACTGGCTCTTTAAAGTCTTGTGTACCTGTTCACACTGGCCATAGAGGTCTATGAAGGGATAACAAGGAGAAGGGATGTCCTGCGCTGCCACGCCCTGGTCCATGCCGTTAACGTAGAGGTGCAGACAACCGTTGGTGTCCACCAGCAGACCCAACACCGTTCCCTCTGGACACGTGTCCAGGTTAGGACCGTAGTTCTCACATATCTGAAAACCAAAGAATGAGATCCGTCGCCCAACAAAGCCTGGCTGAGTTTGTCCTGCAAGATAAAAACCAGTAAACGCCCAGTAAGGCTGAAAGGTTGGCGTGTTTACCTTCAGGGAGTTATGGAAGACAGAGTCTCGCTGCAGCAGCCAGGCGGAGCGTTTCAGACAGCACGCCGTGGAGGGGAAGTTGAGACGGTCAGGGGAGTGACCGATCACCCCTAACGACAGAGACGACGTCCATGACGGGTTCAGACGATCGATCTGAAACTGGTGCAGAGAGGAAAAGATGAGGAGCAGCTTCTACTCGCAGCATCGTCATGTTCAGCGTGTTTTCTTGCAAAAATAATCCCAAAACTGAGCAGAGAGTTTACAACGACCCGATCATTCCAAGAAAATCTTTTGTCATCATGAAAACTCAAAGGTCCAGTCACCTGGAAGAGCTGCTGACGGGCCAGTGGCTGGGCGGTGACCAGCAGGCCCTGGTTGTAGCTCGATACTCTGGCCGCTGTCAGATTCTGGTTGGACAGCTGGATGTTCTTGCCGTGGTTTTCCAGAAACGCCATGACCGTGAGAACCTGAGGACGCTGCTCGCTCTCAGCCTGGACGCAACAACAGAGATGAAGGACAACAATTAAAAATAAACGCACACTGGAAGTGTCACGGTTCACCTCGGATTTTTTATCCGAGCTCATGTGTCCCGCAAGCAGCGGAACAATCCACAACCCAATGTTTGTAAACATCTGCCCTGAAGAAATATAATAATTACTGATATTAAATATAGGTTTGTTCAGATTAACATGCTTCAAATTAAGGAAGGCTTCTACATTTTTTTACAAATAAAGATTCTGCAGGTTACTGCCAAGTGGAACCACAGAAAACAGGACACATTATTAACAGGACACATTATTAACAGTATTAACAGGATGATGGAAATGGCCGAACATGTATCAGTTCACGTTTGCAGTCGAACGTATAAAGGGAAGATTAGAAGTCAAATAAGCAGCAGACAAACCTTCAGATTAAACCTCCCTCACCTCTGGTGATTCCTCTTTTTACGTTAACAGATTTTACAAATAGCTACCCCAAGGTATTATTAGATGTGCCATTAGCCTCTTAGTGTTAGAGGCTGTCCCACACCCACACCCACCCACCCACCCACACACACACACACCCACACACCCACACACACACAAAGGAAATAGTGTTCCTGAGTGACGGATCAGCTGATAACTGGTCTGGTCAAGCCTATCATTGTCTGATTTGGGGACGTTTTTAAATTATATTTAATCTAAAATAACTCGAGAGTTCAGTTTAGGTTGACTGCAGTTACAGTTTTCAGTCAGCAGGGGGCAGACAACATTAAATAGGTATTCTTAAATGTATAAAGATATGAACGTAACAACTTTAAACCAGGGCTTAATTTGAGCCGGATCCTGTGGGAACTCTCTTATTTTGACAGGGTGTGTAACCGTTTGCTTGGATCTGGAAACTCTAGTAATACTAAAGTTATGAATAAATTTGACTGTCTTATACAAATAAAATATATATAGGACATGTAATCTGAAAATAATTACATAAACACTAATTTTAAACATAACAGCCACTTACGAGCTTCCTAATATCACACTGCTTCTTCAAGAAGCATTTCTGCTTCTACTCTTAAAAAAAATGTCTGTCCCTAAAAGTACAGTCATGGGCAACTTAATTAAAAACTAAAATATAATTAAACAGCACAAATAAATTGCAAATCAGTTTTACAGTTTAAGTGGGTCATTAATAAAATTTTGATTGTGTATTAAAAAAATAGGAGCAAAATGTTTGAAGGGTAATCACGTACATCACGCATCAAAACAACGGCGCCAATTTGTCAAAATAACAGCAATAAGAATGTTGAAAAAACTGTGTAATTTACTTTCATTTAAAATACAATTTAAAAAGTCCTCATTGTACAACTAAACAACCGAGAATTGAAGGACATGAAGGCAGTGGCAATGGAGATGGAACTGGAGCAGGTGCAAGGATGAGTGAGAGAAGCGGAGCGTGCTTTATTCACACAAGGAGAGCTGTTGGTCAGGCTACTTCTTGTTGCTCTCTAAAATAGTTACTGAATCAAGTGTTTACAAATGTAGGTAAATGTAGATGTTTAACAACCTAATAAAATACACCAGAATGCAGGAAATGGCATCTATTTATTCAATATTTTCTGGGGCAGTACAAAAACATTAATTAAACTCTTTACGACATGCGTTTATCTCCTGAGCAAAACATGGTCAGGTATTAGGTTGTGTTTTATCAGACAATGCTGCCATGAGTACAAAGAAGAGCTTCTACATGTGCAAACAGGAAGTGAGCCAGCATTAAAGTATCACTGTAGGACCTGAGCTGTCCTACCTCTTTAGCAGGGCTGCTGTCCTCCTCCCCCTCGCTGCAGCTGTCTGAGGTGAGCGAAGGAGCCTTGACGCTCTCAGAGTCCTCCATCAGCGAAGAGCTGACGATGGAGACCGCCGTGATCCTCCCGTACAGGTCCAAAACCGCGTAAACATTCTGCAAAGTGCCAGAGAGGCCCAGCTGAATACCACTTGGTGTTTTGGATTTATGTTGTGTGAGGTAAGAAGGTGTGGATACCTTGGGTACTGCAGTGGCAGCAGGTCCCATGTCCTCTCCGTCAATGAAGATGTGCATCGTGTCGTCGTTGCACCTCTTCACGCCCACCCGGTTCCCAACCTGGAAACACATTTTCACACCTCAACAGCTTTCGCTTCAGGGCAGCTGCAGTAAAAAGAGATTTTCTCGTCCAGAATTACCTCAGAATATCTGAGTTTTATATAACGATCTTGTAAATGCTCTTTTCAAACCTTCAGTTACTTCACTTACTCAGAACTGAGCGGTTATTTGCAAGCATAAACAGCAACAGCAGCAGCTAGCTGTAGCACTTCTGCTGCAACCAGGTCCATTTCTGACAGGGTTTTGTTGCTGCTGCGTAAATTCACAGCAGTGTAAGGTCTGAACCATGCAGGACGGTGGCCCTCGAGGACCAGGAGTGGACACCCCTGGTTCCAGCAGGACATTAAATCACTGACCGTGCGTCTGGAAGATATTCTCAGGTTTTCATCCCAACAAACAGAGCTGCTCACCACCAGCCGATCCAGTGAGTAGCCGTAGTTCTGGCGCTGCAGCGCGCCGTTACGACGGACCTCAGAGCTGCAGAGTAGCCAGGTGACCTTGGTGCGAAGCTGTGGGAGGGACGGGGTGAGGCTGGACAGCGGGCAGGACGGCAGCTCCGGGGGAGCCAGCGTGGTCAGACCAATATGCAGCGAACCGCACCACTGCTCGTCCACTTCATCGATCCTCACCTGCAGGAGAAACGACCGTGGTTTGACATGAGGAACACAAATAACACATGAAAGCCTTTTGTTGGTAACGGCTTGTGTGAACAAACCTCAAACAGCTCGTCTGCTCTGAGTTCCTTCGCACTGAAGGCGATGCCGTGAGCGTAACCTCCGACTCGGATGGCCTGGCAGCCCTCGCCGAGCAGCACCACGTTCTTACCGTGTTTACTGTGGAAGTGATGGGCGACGCCCGCCGCTACAGACACGGAGGGAACATCAAGACAAGTTTAAACACAACCAGTAATTCATGCTTTGTGCACTTTGGTGTAGAACTTTAGATGCTGTACCTGGGGAGTGAATGGGGAAGCTCTTCTCGGTGACGTTGCTGGTACACAGACTGTTGTCCAGCGGGCCCGAGGAGCTGGTGATGGACACCTGAACGCACTGACCGTACAGATCGATGACAGCGAACACGTCTGGAGGACAGAGAGGGACACGGACGTCATGCTGGTTGTTCCCTCCAACCAGAGCGAGGGGTACGAGAACAATTCCTTACCTGGCGGCAGGCCAGAGCAGGCGACGCCTTGATCCACGCCGTTGATGTAATAGTGGAGGTTACCGCTGGCCGAGCGCATCATGCCAATCCGAGAGCCCGTGGTCAGGGAGTCCAGATCACAACCGTAGTTGTTGCGCATCGTGTTTCCGTCCTGCATGATGGCTGTTCCACTGTGGGAAGAAAATAATAACATTTCAGAACAGAAAATTTCACCTAAATTTAATTAGAGAAATTGCATTTCCTGCGAAAATGCAGTGTGAATGCTTATTGCTGAAGAATTTGCTGAAAAACGGCTGAAATGAGCTAAAAACATGATGAAATGTAGCTGAAATGGCACAAGCCTAAGTTAGAAGAAAGCAGAAAGAACACATATTTGCTGAATTAGGTTTAAATAAGCAGAAAATAGCACAAAAATTAGGAAACTAGCTAAAAAAAAAAGGCTGAAATTAGCTAAATAATTAGCTGAAAAGGTAGAAAGAAGCTTAAACTACCAGAAGGAAGTGGAAGGAGTTGAAATGAGCTGAATAAATGTGGAATTAGCTAAAAAAAACTAAATTTAGCACAAAACAGCTAAATAGTAGTAGAAATAGCAGAAAAAGCTGAAACTAGCAGAAATAATCTGAAAGGAGCATAACAAGCTGAAATTGGCAGAAATAAGTTAATAAGGCTCAAAGAAGCAGAAATTGCCAGGAAAAACTTGAATTTATCTGAAAACAGCTGAAATTAGCTAAAAAATACTAAATAAAAAAATGGTAGAAGAAGCTTAAATTATCAGAAGGAAGTGGAGAGAGCACAATTGTGACAAATTAGGCTGAAAGAAGCAGAAATTAGCATAAAAGGTGGAAATTATCTGAAAAAAAGCTGAAATTAGCAAAAATCCAGCTGAAAAGTAGCTAAAAAAATCAGAAAGAAGCTTAAATTACCAGAAGAGGAAAGAGCTAATTTTTGTTGAATTAAGCACAAAAAAAAGGAAATTATTGCAAACATGGAATTAGATGAAAAAGCTAAAATTAGCATAAAACAGCTAAATAGTAGCTGAATAGCAGAAATAGCTTAAACTTGCATAAATAAGCTGAAAGGAGCACAAGAAGCTGAAATTAGCAGAAGCTAGAAGAAGCACAAAAATGTTGTAGTTAGCAGAAAGAAGCGAGGAGCACAAAACAGCTGAAAGTAGCTGAAAAGTTTAAATTTGCAGAAGGAAGCTGAAAGAAGCTGAACCAGAACAAAATGTGAAGGAGCAGTAAAAGATTGTAAACAGATCTAAAGATTTGAAGGATGGAAAATGAGCTCAATGCAGAAAAGGCTAAATATTTCAAAAAGCTAAAGTTGCCCAAATGTCATATCAGGATTGTCCTGAAGGAGCTGAACGTGTTGATTTATGATTTGTTGAAAGAACACAAAAACTGCGGGACAAGATGCTGAAAAACGTACAGAAGAAAAATGGATCACAATAAATTTACTTTTTAAATCTTCTGGGCCACTTTCACTACCTGAGCATCCACGTGTCGTAGTCGATGTCGGTCATGGTGTTTGGAAACTCCAGCTCCTCAGGTCTGATGGCCGTCACTCCTGATCACACAGGAAGTAACAAAATAAACTGTTGAAACTCAGATAAGAGCTCCAAAGCTGCTGAAGATTCAGGGACGCATCAGACTGAAGCGTTAAGAAATGAAGGTCGTAACTCTTAAGCGGATGCATCTCACCTGCCACTGCACATGTCAAAGTATTTTAGATGTTGTGTGATCCATTAGTGGTAATACTATGTTTTGAGGAGGACTCAACTACTAGCACGACAAACTTTAGCTCAACTTCTGTGAAACTCACCAACATATAGACATTTCTCTGTTTGCTATAGTTGATTAGCTGTTGTGGTCTTCCTAAATCTTGTTGACTCCAAATGTTAAATCAGCTGTAGAGGTACCCCCAATGATTTAATGAGATGAAAGTTGTATTTAAGTATGTCCACTGCTGAAGCCCCGTCACACTATAATGTTCTAGACAACCTATGAACATTTCCTCCAACACGCCGGCATACGCTGATGGAATAAAAAAATAAACAGGAAGCTTCTTTAGCACGTAAACATACCGTGTTGCTAACGAGTTGAACAGATATACAACCTATGAGTGACTTATCCACAACGTGTCCACAGCTTATACATAATTTATAATTCTGTTTGCCTCTTTTTATACGTTGACTTACGCTGATGCTATACGTCATGGTGTGACCGCCTCTTATCAAACGGACACACAAACACAGGCGACTGCCCGAAAGCCCTCTACTGATCACCATGACACAAGCAGCAAGTTTCAAAGTGAAGAAGGAGGAAATAAAAAAGTACCTGCTTCTATTGAACCTGACCAGCGGTCCACCATCTTCTGAATAACTATTTCGAACAGCTCTCCATCCCGAAGGCACCTGCAGCACAACAAAATACACGTTCACGGAGCACTCACTTGCAGAATATAACCGAAGCTGCCTTTGGACCATCTATGTCCACCCCTCAAATTAATACATTTACAATAAATCCATAAATAGTGTTTGTTTTATTAGTGGAAATTGTGGCGGCACGGTGGCGCAGTTGGTAGAGCTGCCGCCTCTCAGCGAGAGGGCTGTTGCTGTCAAACTGTCTCCTAATAAAAGTTTAATTATTTTACTGTATGCCTGTCGCTGCAACTCACACCTTGGCTGGTAACCAAGAAAAAAAATATGGCAATTTTCTTTTTGTCCCCCATTGCAGAATGAAAAAGGGGAGATAGAAATGCCTTCAGACAGACAGACGTGCATATTATAAGCACGATAACTTGACTAATAACAGAAGCACCGACTTGCATTTTAGTGTGCGTAACGAAAGTTCCCTTTGAAAATTGGGTTGCCACATCAAAATCCAAGATGTTCACCACCATATACCAGTATATACTGTATGTGTAAACCAGCCATTCTTACCATTTGAGAAAATTATGCATTCTAATTTTTTCTATTGCTTAAAAGTAGTTTTCTTAAATGAACGGGGTGGCTGAATATTATTATGTGGTGGTCAAGGCCACCATTGGCCACCTCCTGGCGCCACCCTTACACCAGGTGGTGGAAAAATTGCTCCCTCCTCTCACGAGGATCGGTCACACACCACCTTGAACAAGAAAAAAATAAAATAAAACTACCGTATTTTTTGCCGTATAAGCTGCACCTTTTTGCATAAATTTGCACGTCCTGCGACTTATACACCGAAGCGACTAATATACGTTTTTTTTCCTCCATATTTATAAATCAATTTTTGGCTGAGAGCTGACGATTTCATTCATTCGGACATGGTAAATATTGAGCACTACCATTTTCAGTCACTAGAGGGCCCTTGAGTAATATGGCAAGCCAAATGTCACATTAATAGGTAAAAGTGACTATTAATGAGGTGAAATTCAGCTGATTTGACCGTCAAAATGCATTTATTAAGGAAAAGTTAAACTGAGACACACCTTTACTTTACTATAATTTGGAGTAAACAAATAATTGTTTTTAAGTGTTAATCTTGTTAAATTCTTATCAAAGTCCTTCTGTGCACGCTCCCATGGCCGCCACTTGGCAGTCAACCGATTTTTGACACAACACCGGCCCACGTTTCCAGGTAGTCAGCGGTGATGCATAATAGATGCGACTTATACGGCAAAGCAATTTATTTGTTTTTTCCCCACTTTATTACATATTTTTGGACTGATGCGACTTATATGGCGTGCGACTTATACGGCGGAAAGTACGGTACCTCTCTTCTTCTCTTCGACCCACCTGAATATCTTGCACCAAAAACAGTTTATTTACATCCCCAGTTCAGTTCCAGTCCAGAAAAACACTCATCTCAAAAACTACAAACATTTACTATTCAAACCCCTCAGCGATGAGGGAAATCAGTGTACCGCTTGTAGAAATGTAATTCTTAGCAGTCTTCTAGTATCCAGCCCCCTTCAAAGATCCTCATTGCATGGCGGCAACAAAGAATCCAAAGAGAGCTCATGACAGAGGAAGTCGTCGAACCTGTTGGAAATGACAATCGCATCGTTGAACTCGCTGCGGCAGTTCTGACGCAGAGCAGTGCGTCCCCCATTGGTGATGACGGCGTTGGTGCCGTGCAGCTGGTGGAAATGCAGGTCACTGGTTGTGGTGGCCCCAGCCACTGAGCAGGGGCTCCCGGGGGAAATGGCAGTGGGGCCTTCTGAGCTGTCCTCTGGAAGAGGGGGGAGGTCCACTAAAGAGATAAGATGACGGGTCAGTCTTCTGAAGTGGAATCTCATTTATTACAGCATCTCCTCCTCTGGTTCTTACCCATGTCGTCCATGATGGTGGCCTGGGCTGCCTGGCCGTACAGGTCCACCACAGCGTACACGCTGGGGGGGACATTCCAGGCTGCCGGGCCCTGAGCCACACCGTTCACAAAGAAATGCAGGCTGCCGTCTTCTTTCCTCACCACTCCGACTGTGTCCCCTGCCTGCAGATGGAGCCACACAGATGATTAAAACCAACAGGACAACAAGTGAGGAAAGACGATCCAGAAAGCCGACTTACTTTGAGTCGATCCAGATTGTGTCCATACTCGTCCAGTATAGTCGTTCCATTGTGCATCACACCGTTCCCCGTCATCATCCACGTCCCTGGAAAATACACCCGATAGGGACATCAGGCACCTCCGCAGAAAGAACAAACGTTTCACAGAGCTTCCTGTTTTTTTTGTTTCTGTTAACCTGAGCGCAGGTTCGTCATGGTGGACGGCAGCTGCAGGTAGGCGGGGTTGTGCGTAGTGACACCGATTTCTATGGAGCCTGCCCACTTGTCCACCATCTTGTCAATGCGAACCTGGAACACCTCGTTGGAGCGCAGCGGCCGGTTGCTCAGGACCACCCCGTGGTTGAAGTCATCGGTCGCACTGCAAAAAGCAGCACCGTCATCTCATTTTACTGTTTAGAATGAAACTTAAAGTGAGTTTTTAGAAAACATCCTAACTTTTAAAAGTCTTCTTTCTTTTATTTTCTTTTTCTTTTTTTTAACATAGATGGGAAAATGCTGACTACCTTAATTAGTGCAACTAAATAATAAAATTGCTTGTAATACTTGAATACTTGTAAGTAGAGATGCACTTATTGCTTGGCATGCGACTCAAATCTGATTTTTTAATCTTCAACAAGTCGTTAAGTTTTAGAACTAACGTGCTGTTGCTTTGATGATGGTGGTTTCAGTTTGTTTATTTTGAAAGGTTTACTTGTGGAAACTACAGTCACGGGTGAGCAACCTCACTGTCAGAAGATGTGTTCACGCCTCCTACAGACTAAATATCTAGACATCTGACCAGAACCTGGAAGTTGAAGCCGTCCCGCCCCCTCCATGAAAATTAACAGCACATTGCTCTTGGTTAAAACAAAAACATGTCAGTTTAAAAACATCTAGCAGCAGCACATCCTTGTAAAAGTTTTTACTTAACGAGGAACACATAAAAGTTAGCACATTTGTAAGGTGTTTAAAAATAAAAGCAGATTAAGGATATAGAGTATAAAAAGCTACAAATATAAAGTATTTTTACAGAGGCATGTCAGGTACTTTGTATAATGATGGACATTGCTGTTAAATATTTTAAAAGACAGCTCGTAGAAGAAGTGTTTTATTTAATCGGATGCATGTTTTGAGTTTTAATTTGTGTAAATAAGGATGACAAAGACAAGGAGATATAATCTGGTTTACGAACACATATTGTAGTACATTTTTACTTTATTTGTATAAAAATCTCTGTTTAATAGACAAGAGTATCCCTGGGTACAAAGAAAGCCCAGTAATCTGGAGTAAATTTGGAGAAAATTAAAATGTATATAACAGTAATGCTTTATTGTGAACACATTTTTACTTGATTTGTTTTGAACCAGAATTTTGGACAATAAATGTAAATGTCAATATATTGTGAATGAAGTACAATTCTTTGAGAAACATCAGATTCAGCTTTAAAAAAAACAGCAATTGGTGCTCCTCTGTATTTTACAGTTCAAATGTTTTCATCTTTATATTTTACAGTTCAAAACATTAACATTTTACTTCTATATTTTAAAGTTCTAAACATTTTACACACTACATTTTACAGTACAAACTGTTTTTCCTCTATATTTTAAAGGTCTACATGTTTTACCCTCTATATTTTAAAG